CTAGAGAGCAAAGAGGAGCAGACCAAATGGATGTTTCCAATACATTTCAGAATGATAGAATGTGTGTCCCGGCATTTAATGTTTGCCATATATATGCTGTGCTCCGCCCTGAGTCCACTTCGGGGTGAGAAGGGTGGAATATCAATGTTTTAAATAAATAAATAAACGGTTCTAACATCCTCTGAGAGTATCAATGCCTAAAAGCATGTGCTAGGCCTTTGATGAATCCAGTGAAGTTAAAGCTGAAAAACATTGGGAGTTGCAGTTCATCATCAATATCTATACTTCACCCACTCTGGGAATAGATGGTAAGAAAGAAAAAGCAGGCCAGATCTAGCAACTCCCCCTTATTCAGAAATCCCTCTTTTGAGGCATATAAGCTTATAATAATAATAACTTTATTCTTATATCCTGCCACCATTTCCCCAAAGGGACTTGGGGCAGCTTACATGGGAACAAAGCCCAATATAAACAGTTTCAAGTGACACAGCTAAAAACATAAACAATAAAATATATTTAAAAACAATAAAATATAAAGCAACATAAAAACATCAAGCTTCACCTCTCACAATTACATCTGGGATTATTGCAGATACCAGGAAGAAGATCTATTCAAAAGAAGATCAAGGTTTAGATCAGGAACAGGAAAAGTTCAGCCCTACACATATTGTTTGACTACAACACACATCCGGATAGCCAATGCTGAGGAACGTTGGGAGGTGCAGTTCAGCACCACCTGAAGGGCTGCATTTTGCACACTCCTGACCTGAATTGTGCTCTTTTGGGCACACTATTTTTAGACATGGACTCCCATTGAGTCGGATTTTGCAGTGACACTTGAATGCTCCCTGTTTGAACCTCCCTGGCTTTGAACTCCTTGACTGTCTTGTTTCCAGAGCTCATCCAGAGTTGGCCTTCCCTGAAACAGGACTAAATGATTAGATTGGCAGCTGGTGTGTCATTGCAACTTGAATCCACCCTGAGTGGATTGTAATGGAAGTATCGAACTGGTGAGTTTGTCTTGAAGACAGAGTTCAACCTGTTGGATAGACAATCCTACTCGGACAACGAGGGATCGCCTAAGTAAGTAAGTAAGTAAGTAAGTAAGTAAGTAAGTAAGTAAGTAAGGACGCAGTGAATATGATTTGTTTGCTTACTATAAATCAACACATTAAGTTTATTATTGAAATGGCACTGCAAGTGGGTTGGTTATGATGCAGGAATTATGTACTATGTTTCTAGCTAATTGAGCAATGATGACAAAATGGTTCAAGCCAAAGGAGCCTTCCACCCACTCCAATCTCCCATGGTACATGGTTGAACTTTGTCTTCAAGACAAACTCACCAGATTTCAAAATCAGTCAACCCCCACTGGCATAAAATAAAAACTGTAAAGCACTTAATATGATGAAAATGCGAATACAATGACACATAAAAAGTCAAATATGTTCCTGCTCTTGATTGTCTTCCAAGATCAGTTTTCTGGCGGTGGGTCTGTAGGTGACTGTGGAGCCCTATTCTTGATATGCATGTTCTCCCACAGTGAGGGCATCAGTTTCCAGGTGGAAGGTGGTCCCGGTCAGGGTTGGCTTGATGCACCTTTCTCTTGGCACGTCTCTCTTTTTTGCCCTCCATTTGTACCTCTTCACATTCTACAGCACTGCTGTCACAGCTGACCTCCAGCTGGGGCGCTCAGGGGCTAGGGCTTCCCAATTCTCAGTGTCAAACCATGTTGCAATGCCATTTATTTCCATGGCTGTCCAGTTCCAATAAGCCTTTCATTACAGGTTCACTAAGACCCCTTCCACACAGCCAAATAAAATCCCACATTATCCACTTTGAACTAGGATATATGGCAGTGTGGGCTCAGATATTCCAGTTCAAAGCATATATTGTGGGTTGTTATCCATTGATATTCTGGGTTATATGGCTGTCTGTAAGGGGTCTATGATGCAGAGAACCCATTGGGAGGTAATTTCATTAAGGGTCTTTTTCCATCAAAAGTGTCTGCCTTCTCAACCTGTGACTCAATAACAGTGGAAAAAGCAACCAAATAGCAATCAACCAGTCTATACTTGTTGAGGGGGACTACTAAAATCAAAACCAGACAATATAATGATCTCTAAAGTAAAATCTGGATACAGGAATGTAAGGAGCCAGCTTACACTATACCCAACATTTTTTTAGGTCTGACTGGCAATGGGTTTCAAGACCACAGGCAAGAAGAGTTTTCTAATTGTATGTTTCCCAATTCTCAGAATGGGAGCAGAACTTGGAAACTTTCCTAAGCATATGGTTCATGGAATTTCCCAGTCACATAAAGCAGGTGAGTTACAATCCCTATTATGTATAATGTTACAGTTTCTTTTGTGAAAAGGATTTAATTTTGTTTACTAGGTTGACAGAAACACATATTAGCTTTTCTAGTCAACAGATAATAATAAATAGAGGTTGGGAGGATAATGCTGAATGCAGTGAACAGTGATATTCTGGATTCCTGAAAAGTACAAAATCCATGAAAAAAGCCTAGCTCAGTTCTGCCTAGTTTGATGGGGTTCTCCACTTCTCACTCAGTCCACTGTACAACAACCTACCACATTGACCACCTTATCACATTGAGAAATTGCCCAGTCATAGGCCACTTCAGCCTCCTTTCAAGCATGGAGAGGAACTGAGCTCATCACATGAGTAAAAGTACTTCCAGCTGTTGTGCACAGAACTCTGAGGTTTAAAAGAGGCAGAAATGTCCTGAAAGGAGAGAATTCTGGCAATCTGACCTCATTGCATTGAGAAATTTCCCCCATGATAGGACACTTCATCCTCTTTTTAAGCATGGAAAGGTATGGAGCTCATCACACGTTCCAGGGTTGAAAAGAGGCAGAAATGTCCTGAAAGGAGAGAATTCTGGCAATCTGACCTCATCACATTGAGAAATTTCCCCCCTGATAGGACACTTCATCCTCTTTTCAAGCATGGAAAGGTTTGGAGCTCATCACATGTTCCAGGGTTCAAAAAAAAAGGCAGAATAGTCATGAAAAGAGGGAAATCTGAACATGGTATGAGTGTTCAGAGCTCCTATCTCTTATCATACTTCACTCCCATCTTTACAACTGAAAAACATGTGGGATGGGAACTATCAAAAGTTTCCCATCCTGTTTCATTGCCCAACCATCAGTAGTCTGTTTTGTCCTATGGTCTTTGATGCAGAATCGTAGGAGCCAAAGGAAAGCAAGGGTTTTAACCTGGAGCACTGTCTCTTGTATCCTATGGGTTTGGTGCAAAACAATACTATCCCATGAAAAGCAATGGTTTTAACCTGAATCACTGTCTCTTGTATCCTATGGGGTTTGGAGCAGAACCATAGGATCTCATGGAAATAACTGGTTTTAAACTGGTGTCAGTCTCCTTTAGTGTAAGGGGCTTTTGGCCGAGCAAGGGATGGATTTCGGATACTGTAGTTTCTCCTGATCTTTAAAAAAAGCAATACTGACCTTGTGATGAATGCAAGATAAATGTATTGCCAGCTCTTAAGTTTCCACTGTGTCTGATGGGGAGGCAGAAGTCCAAAGGGGACTATTCTCTCCCTTAAAGGAACAATTCTCTCCCTTAAAGGGAAGGTCACCCATGCTTTCCCCTCTCAATGTGATGAGGTGGTTATTTAATGAGATCTTTTAACCATTTATGTAGCATGTGAGGTGATATAGTCAGTTACCATTCCAACAACATGCTTAAATCTGAACCCAGCACAGTCATTTGCAGAGACTTTTTCGGGGGAAACTCCCTTCCTGGCAGCTCAGGGGAGATTTACAAAATGTAAATTTACAAGTAAATTTACAAAATGATCCCTTGATCTCTGCTGCACCTAGATTATCTAAACTGTGATATTCCATGTGGTTGAGTGTTTTTTCATACTGCATACCGTCAATGCTAAATTTGCCAACAGAGTATGCTGAAATGAGAGCTGTCCATAATCACAAGTACTTGAGAACAAATGTGTGTGATACATACTTCACATGCACATGTTGCTTGTATTCATACCCTAAATTTGGTGATAAAATGGACCCTTCATATTCACTGAAGTTTGGTTCCAGGAGCCTATATGGATACCAAAATCCATGTATGTTCTAGTATTATTGTATACCATGGCATAGTAAAATAGTGTCCCTTATGTAAAATTGCAATTTTGAAAAATTGAATATTTTCAAGCCATGGATGGTGGAATTCATGGATATGGAGTCTGTGAATATGAAAGGCTAACTCCATATGCTTAAAGAAAATAATGCTGTCTATCTACTGATAGAGGAGCCCCCGGTGGCTCAGTGGGTTAAAGCACTGAGCTGCTGAGCTTGTTGATCGAAAGGTCGCAGGTTAAATTCCGGGGAGCGGCGTGAGCTTCCGCTGTCAGCCCTAGCTTCTGCCAACCTAGCAGTTCGAAAACATGCAAATGTGAGTAGATCAATAGGTACCGCTCCGGCGGGAAGGTAACGGCGCTCCATGCAGTCATGCTGGCCACATGACCTTGGAGGTGTTGTCTACGGACAACGCTGGCTCTTCGGCTTAGAAATGGAGATGAGCACCACACCCCAGAGTCAGACATGACTGGACTTAATGTCAGGGGACTACCTTTACCTTTTTATCAACTGATAGACATGTTTCTTTGATATAGTTTTTGCACTGGCCTTGGTTCCTCCTTAAAGAAGCAGGAAAGCATTGGAGAATATTCAGCCCCCTTTCCCTGTAGTAAAGACACATGTGTCCTTGTTATGAATATATCAAGGAAAATAAGTGACCGTCTTTATCATAGCAAGAAAAAACGTAAAAGCACTCTTAAATCTGTTGCATGTTTCAGCTTTTGATAGATCCTTTCAACAGCTGTTCCTTGAGGCAGCTCATGAATCTGTGGTGCACAAATGTTGTGACCTTCACTCCCACCCCTTTCTCCCTTTGTATGCATCAGAAGCCAGTGGCATTGCCATCCCAACAGATAGGGCATGTGTGTGTCCCTCCCCTCTCACTCTTGTTTTGGTGAGGGGAGACAGAGTTGGGTATAAGTGTCATTTAAAGGACAGCTGAGGAGCAAAGCCTTTTGGATTAATATTGTTCCTCATTGACAAAGCATATTGCCTCTCCTGGTGCAAGAAGCAAACTGTTTTGCTGGAGGCAATGCAAAGACATTAATGCTGTTTTTAGAGACCTTGGAACTTTCTACAATTCTCTGGTGGCAGAAAAGGAGAAGACAGCCAAATAAGGAGTTCAAGACAGTAAGATCTGCTTTAGTTACACACTTATGATGCTTCTTCTGAGAACTGGGGCCAGGAATGTATTCATGGCAAAGATTTGTGTGTGTGTGTGTGTGTGTGTGAAGCAGCTTAAGAAACTGCAAGTCACTTCTGGTGTGAGAGATTTGGCTGTCTGCAAGGACGTTTCCCAGGGGACGTTCAGATGTATTACCATCCTGTGGGAGGCTTCTCTCATGTCCTCGCATGAGAAACTGGAGCTGACAGACGGGAGCTCACTCCGTCTCATGGACTCAAACAGCCGACCTTCAGGTCAGCAATCCAGCTGGCACAAGGGTTTAATGCACTGCACCACCACAGCTCCAATATGGCAAAGATGATCTCTAGGGTTACTGCATCAGGCTGTGAACTTCCTGTTCCATGACTAAATGGAAAAAATACAGAAAGAAAAAAAAGCCTAACTGCAAATATGTGTTGTTCTTACCAATCATTTAGACTAAAACTGAACATTAAAAAACTAATCAATTCAATATATAGGGTTGAGTACAGACCTGCTTATACCTAAAAGAGATTCACTCAGTTCCTTGGAACATGAACTTAATTCCCATGTATTCCAATTGGGTTTGCTCAAAGTCTGACCAGAACTGGATCCAATGCAAAACTTTTAGCACCAAGTTACCAAGAAACAGAATGGTGCCAATATACCTTTGATGGAGTTCGAATCCAATGATGGCTTTCCTAACAAAAAATTCATGCTGCCTGTGACTTCAGTGCTCTGTTTCTGTGATTAAAGATACTGCAGGAAGAAACAAATTGGGGAAAAGTTAAACTAAGATATTTGATTTATTTTGCTTTCTGTCAACCTAGGGAAAGATGTATTCTTAAAGCATTCTTATAAAGTAAAGGAGTAAAGTATAAAAAATGTATCAATCTGCCACTAAAATTAAATTCCAGTTTAAAAAGGTATTGTGGGTAATTAAAGTATTCATACAGTAAGCAATTTCATTCGTGCCTAATACAATGTTATGGATTGATTCAAAGTGTTGTTTTTAATCACTGATTTGTTTCTGCTGGGTAAAAAGGGTGTTGAGGTCATTGCCACATACTATCTGTGAACATCTTTCAGTTGAATGTCTTTAAGACGTACAATATGGCATATGTTCTTTAATCAAAAAAAGAGAAGGAATATTCATTGCTCAATTCAATAAAAATACTATACTGTACTGTCCTTTATGTGGATTTAAATATTCACTGTTTTTACTCTTTTGTAGCGATTTTGCCCTCTTAGCCCCCATGAATATGAAGGGTGAACTGTAATAATTGCCACTATCCATTAATCAAATGTCATTATCAAAGGTTCATAATCTGCTTGCACGTAAAGTGATGTAATATTTTAATAGGCTGCTCAATTTACTCAAAGTCAATTGACTCTTTTATCTTTGGATATTGCTTTTCAAAATCAATATTGCAGTACTGATATGACTCTTTAAAATGCTGTCTAGAAATGAAGGGGTTATTAAAAATATTTCAGAGACTTTAGGGACAAGGAATGATCCTCCTATATTGGCAGAAATGTAGAATAACTTTGCCCAGTTATAAGTGTAAAGAAGCCTGTGAGTGAGAATAATTCATGTGTTGTGGTTATTGATGACTATTCCTTTTTGTCTGTATTGGCAAATGTGCTCTGAGATTCTTTTTTCGTTTCCCTAGATTTCATTCGAGTTTCAATCCAAAAAGAACAGCATTTCCTGTATAGCTAGAAAACTGTTACTGGGCTTGTGGTAAGACCATATGTGATCTATCCTGTCTCACAGAGTCATCCATCCATTACAGTCAATTAACTAAGGCAGAGCAATGAGGAGTTTTTGCTGTTTCATGTTAAGAGGCTCTTGGAGGTCCGTAAATTTGTAAGCAAGTCGGGAACTTCACATTGTTCTTCTTTTCATACTTAGTTCAATAAAATTAGCTCTTGGATCTCAGCCTCAATCATTTAATCTGATCTTGGGCTGTTCAATTGCATCTTCAAAAGCAAAAAACGGGGTAATTTTAGAACTCAATTTAGCATGTTTGTCCCTATGATTTGGAGGCAAGGGATGCATTATTTTGATTATCTTTGCAAGGTACAATAAGAAAGGATATTGATAGAACGGGATGTTCTTAATATATATGTTCAAATGAAATTTTACCTTCACATCCATTGCATTCACAGGACATATACAGGGTCCTGTGTTCACAGGTTGGGGGTTCAAATCTGTGAGACAGGGTGAGCTCCCATATGTCAGCTCCAGCTTCCCATGCGGGGACGTAAGAGAAGCCTCCCACAGGATGGTAACATATCTGCTGAAGCAGCTGGCAGTATCTCATGTCACCTCTGACACAATTAAAAAAATACTCAAAATTCCTGAAAATCACTTGCACTATCACGTAATTTGGTCACCATTCTTGTACTCACAATTTGAGGTGGATTAAAGCACTGTGAAAAAAATAGTCATTCTCTCAATACATGGCTATGCTCGGAATTTATATCAAAAGAACCATTCTCATGAACTATAATAGCCACAATCTAAATCACAAACTCTAGCACAGAATTTGGAAAAAGTTCCTTTTTTGGACTACAACGCTCAGAATCCCCATGTAGTCCAAACAAATAACTTTTTGTATTATTGTGGATGGTCATTTGAACAAAGTAAATTATTAGTTGTATTTTTTATATGTTTTTTAATATGCATTTAATTTTAATTTTAAATCTTTCACGGAATGTATTTTAACTGTTTGCTGTTCAAAGACATTGAATAGTTGCCCTATGTAAAGCTGCCTTGAGTCCCCTTCGGGATAGGGAAAGGTTGGATACAAATAGACTAAATAATAAATAAATAAATTAGTTGAGAAGCCTGAAATCAGACAGTCCCGACACTCATCTAAAAGGCTGGTTTCTGAGTCATAAACTAGATTAAACCCCACAAAAATACATATTTAGAAATAAGGGAGAAATCATGCCCTACACAAAATAACAACTACATTTTCTCATGCTAACTCATCTCCTGCAGTTTTAATGACATCAGGAGACAATCCCTCCTTATGGAGGTCTTTTTCTAATTGCTTTCTGTCATGGAAGTATTGATTAATGTACTTTTAATTAGTCCTTGGACAATCAAATTACTTTTTCTTATGGAATTACTAGTTCACTTCTTTAAAAAAATATTGCAACTTTCTTTTCCAAAATAAAAATGCAACAAATCTTTCTGTTTCCATCCCATATCCATCTCTCTTAGGAATGAACAAGGTAAAAGCAAATCATGAGCCAATTCATAACTAACCACAGTGGACAGGAAGCGATTAGATACTGAAGTTGCAACCAGATGTTTAATTAGTTAATTAATAGCAAAATAGCCTTAATAAGTCCCAGTAGTATCTTTTTTCAGTCCACATTGGACACACTGTGGCCATAACTGTACTTTAAATACAAAACAAATTACCACAATTCTGAATAAATGTGGTAAAACAATCAGGAAATACTGGAATATAGTCACTGTCATATGGATTCTCTGTAGATCTAAGTAAACAATTTGAGATTACTTGGCTAATTTGAAAGCATTTATAGTTTCCAGTTATGGGAAATAATATTTTGGGTTGTTGTAGGTTTTTTCGGGCTATATGGCCATGGTCGAGCATTCTCTCCTGACGTTTCGCCTGCATCTATGGCAAGCATCCTCAGAGGTAGTGAGGATGCTTGCCATAGATGCAGGCAAAACATCAGGAGAGAATGCCTCTAGACCATGGCCATATAGCCCGAAAAAACCTACAACAACCCAGTGATTCCGGCCATGAAAGCCTTCAACAATACATTAAAATAATATTTTTTTTAGATACTGCGAGGCAGAATACATTAAAAACTCCAGTTCTCAAACACTAACTATGAAAAGAAGAGCAATGTGAAGTTCCCGATTTGCTTACAGTGGCATCAAACTGCATTAATTCTACAATATAGATAGATCCCTAAACTAATTAGAGTTGGGTCAAGACCATGAGGGGCCCAATCCAAGGCCTAGCACAAGTTGTATGAATATGTTTCCATACCCTATCCACTCTTTTGGGTTTCACACAATAGTACATTGCCAATAGCCTGAATCTCTTTCATGCATTATGTCAGCATCCTGTTGTACTCTTGGCCACAGTTTTGCATATCCACGCAAAGTCCAGGATGTTTTAAATCAGTGGTTCTCAACCTTCTTAATGCCATGACCCCTTCATACAGTCCCTCATGTTGTGGTGACCCCCAAACATAATATTGTTTTCGTTGCTACTTCAAAACATACGGAGGCACCTGCTTGTCCATCTTTGTGGGATTCTTTTAGGCTTGTTCTTCCTGAAACCGTAGAGGAGGTTCTTGGGGCTGTGAGGGCGACCACCTCACCTCTAGACCCATGCCCATCTTGGCTCATTGAATCAGCCAGGGAGGGGTTGGTTGATTGGTTTGTGTTGATTGTCAATGCATCGTTGGAGCAAGGGATTTTTCCATCTAATTTGAAACAGGCTGTGGTTCGTCCACTCCTCAAAAAGGTTTCCCTTGACTCCACGGTGCTGAGGCCAATCTCCAACCTCCCTTTTTTGGGTAAGGTGCTGAAGTGGGTGGTCACCTCCCAGCTCCAGGGCTTTTTGGATGACATCAACTACCTAGATCAGTCATAGTCTGGTTTCAGGCCTGGTCACGGCACCGAGACAGCCTTGGTCGCCTTGGTGGATGACCTCCGCAGAGAGCTGGGCAGGGGGAGTGTGACTCTGTTGGTTCTCTTGGACATCTCAGCGGCTTTCGATACCATCGATCATGGTATCCTTCTGGGTCGTCTCTCTGGGATGGGCCTCGGGGGCACGGTTTTGTCATGGCTCCGGTCCTTCCTGGAGGGTCGATCCCAGATGGTGAAGCTGGGAGACGCCTGCTCGGACCCCTGGCCTTTGACCTGTGGGGTCCCGCAAGGCTCCATTCTGTCTCCCATGCTTTTCAACATCTACATGAAACCGCTGGGAGAGGTCATCCGGAGTTTTGGAGTTGGGTGCCATCTTTATGCGGATGACACACAACTCTACTACTCTTTTCCACCTAATTCCAAGGAGGCTTCTCGGGTGCTGGACGAGTGCCTGGCTGCTGTGTCGATCTGGATGAGGAAGAACAAGCTGAAGATCAATCCCGACAAGACAGAGGTCCTCCTGGTCGATCGTAAACCGGATCGGGGTATAGGGTGGCAACCTGTGCTGGACGGGGTTACACTCTCCCTGAAGCCACAGGTCCGCAGTTTGGGTGTCCTCTTGGATTCTTCGCTCACACTTGAGGCTCAGGTGTCGGCGGTATCCGGGAGGGCCTTTGCACAATTGAGACTTCTGCGCCAGCTGCGACCGTACCTCGTGAAGGCAGATCTGGCCGGGGTGGTCCACGCCTTGGTCACCTCTAGAATGGATTACTGCAATGCGCTCTACGTGGGGCTGCCCTTGAAGACGGCTCGGAAACTTCAATTGGTCCAGCGGGCAGCAGCCAGGATGCTAACCGGGGCTCATTATCAAGAGAGGTCTACCCCTCTGTTTAAGGAGCTCCACTGGCTGCCATTTATTTTCCGAGCCCAATTCAAGGTGCAGGTGCTCACCTACCAAGCCCTGAACGGTTTGGGACCACCCTACCTGCGTGACCGCATCTCCATCTACGAACCCACACGCTCGCTCCGGTCATCTGGGGAGGCCCTGCTCGTGATCCCACCCACGTCGCAAGCGCGCTTGGTGGGGACACGGGACAGGGCCTTTTCTGTGGCGGCCCCCCGACTTTGGAATGCCCTTCCAAAAGATCTTCGACAGGCCCCTACTTTAGCAGTTTTCAGAAGGAACCTAAAAACTTGGCTGTTCCGATGTGCCTTCTCAGATTAGGAATCCCCCATCCCAAGTCCTAGAAGCACTTTAGCACAACCGATGTTACTGCACACCGCACCTTTAATCCTACGTTCCTCCTGCCATTTCAGCACTTTTAACCCCTGTACCCCATTGCGCCGGCCGAACCAGTTTTTAATAGTGTCTTGATGTAGTCATTGTTGTTATTTTGCTTAATTGTTTTGATTTGCTTTGTTTATTATTGTGTTATGTTTCTATTGTATTGTGTTTGAGGGTTGTGGTGACCCCCAACCATAATATTGTTTTCATTGCTACTTAATAACAGTCATTTTACTACTGTTATAAATCATAATGTAAATATCTGATATGCAGGATGCATTTTCATTCACTGGACCAAACTGGGCACAAATACCCAATACACCCAAATGTGAATGCTAGTGGGGTTGGGGGAGGATTGATTTTGTAATTTGGGAGTTGTAGTTGCTGGGATTTATAGTTCACTTATAATCAAAGAGCATTCTGAACTCCACCAGTGATGGATTTGAACCAAACTTGGCTCTCATGACCAATGGAAAACACTGGAAGGGTTTGATGGGCATTGACCTTGAGTTTGGGAGTTGTAGTTCACCTATATCCAGAGAGCACTGTGGACTCATGCAATGGTGGATCTGGACCAAACTTGGCACGAATACTCAATATGCCCAAATGTGAACACTGGTGGAGTCTGGGGAAAATAGATCTTGACATTTGGGAGTTGTAGTTGCTGGGATTTATAGTTCATTACAATCAAAGAACATTCTGAACTCCACCAATGATAGAATCTCAAACTTCCCACATGGAATCCCCATGACCATCAGAAAATACTGTGTTTTCTTATGGTCTTTGGCGACCCCTCTGACACCCCCTCACGACCCCCTCAGGGGTCCCGACCCCCAGGTTGAGAAACACTGTTTTAAATGTTCATACTTACATATTGTGAAATTGTTTCTCAAATCTTATATATGTACTTTTATTTGTGCTTCTGTATTGTTTTCGATTTGTTGTTTGAAGTTGTTTCAGGAGAAAAGTGGGATCTTAATTATAATAAATGAGGATGAGATTACCAATACCAATAATAATAATAAGGAGGAGGGGCGGTGGGCGGGGCTTCCTATTCTCCGGCCAATGCCCAGCGTTCTGATCCCGCCTCCAGGCTGGAGAAGGGGAGGAGTCAATCTTCTCCGTTGCCATAGTGTCCCAGGGAAGTACCTTACTCGAGTCCCTGCGCTCTTGGAGCGGCCCCTCCTTGTGGAACTCAGTGGCATCATCGCCTCCGTTGCCAGGGCGACGGCGATGCCCGGGCCCTGAGGGGGAGAGGGTCCCAGCCTGTCCATCAACCCAAGGGAGGAAAAAGAACACATCCCACGCTTGAAGATTCCAGTGCCCCCGCCCGCTATGCGCAGGCGCCCCAGGCAAAGACGCGGAACTCCTCTGCGCTCTACTCTCGACTTTTAGTAGAAGCCAAGTCCTGGTGCCACAGAATCCTAGGAGTTACCCTTTACAAAGTCTGTAGTACTGTTGCCTCATCAAACGACAGCTCCCAGGATTCGGCAGTTAAAGTGGAGTCAAACTGGGTTGCTGTGCGTTTTCCATGTTCCAGAAGCATTCTCTCCTGATGTTGCGCCCGTATCTATGGCAGGCATTCTCCGAGGTTGTGAGGTCTGTTGGAAACTAGGAATAGGGGGTTTATATATCTGTTGAATGTCCAGGGTGGGAGAAAGAACTCTTGTCTGTTTGAGGAAAGTGAATGTTGCAATTGGCCACCTTGATTAGCATTGAATGGCCTTGCAGCTTCAAAGCCTGGCTGCTTCCTGGCGGGGGGCTTCCTTTGTTGGAAGGTGTTAACTGGCCCAGATTGTTTCTTGTCTGGAATCCCCCTGTCTTTTGAGTGTTGTTCTTTATTTAACAGGGCCAGTTAACATCTCCCAACAAAGGATTCCCCCAGGCAGGAAGCAGCCAGGCTTTGAAGCTGCAAGACCATTCAAGATGGCCAATTGCAGCATTCACACTTTTGCAACCTTCATACTTGCTGCTTCCTGCCTGGAGGAATCCTTTGTTGGGAGATGCTAACTGGCCCTCAATGTGTCTTGTCTGGAATTCTCATCTTCTGAGTGTTATTCTTTATCAGAGCCAGTTGACACCTCCCAACAAAGGAGTACCTCAGGCAGGAAGCAGCCAGGCTTTGAAGCTGCAAGACCATTCAAGATGGCCAATTGCAGCATTCACACTTTTGCAACCTTCATACTTGCTGCTTCCTGCCTGGAGGAATCCTTTGTTGGGAGATGCTAACTGGCCCTCAATGTGTCTTGTCTGGAATTCTCATCTTCTGAGTGTTATTCTTTATCAGAGCCAGTTGACACCTCCCAACAAAGGAGTACCTCAGGCAGGAAGCAGCCAGGCTTTGAAGCTGCAAGACCATTCAAGATGGCCAATTGCAACATTCACACTTTTGCAACCTTCATACTTGCAGCTTCAAAGCCTGGCTGCTTCCTGCTTGGGGTACTCATTTGTTGGAAGGTGTCAACTGGCTCTGATAAAGAACAACACTCTGAAGATGGGAATTCCAGACAAGATACAATGAGGGCCAGTTAACATATTCCAACAAAGGATTCCCCCAGGCAGGAAGCAGTCAGGCTTTCAAGTTGCCAGGCTATTCAATGCTAATCAAGGTGGCCAATTGCAACATTCACAATTGTGCAACATTCACACTTGCAGCTTCAAAGCCTTGCTGCTTCCTGCTTGGGGGACTCCTTTGTTGGGAGGTGTCAACTGGCCCTGATAAAGAACAACACTCAGAAGACGGGAGTTCCAGATAAGAAACAATCAAGGCTAGTTAACATTTCCCAACAAAGGATTCCCCCAGGCAGAAAGCAGCTAGGCTTTGAAGTTGCCAGGCTATTCAATGCTAATCAAGACGGTCAATTGCAACATCCACACCTGCCTCAAACTGACAAGAGTTCTTTCTCCCACCTTGAACATTCACAGATAGATAAACCCCACTTGCCTAGTTTCCAGCAGACCTCACAACCTCTGAGGATGCCTGCCATAGATGTGGGCGAAACGTCAGGAGAGAATGCTTCTGGAACACGGGCAAACAGCCCGGAAAACTCACAGCAACCCAGACTTGGGATGGCAAGGGAAAGAGCTTCTTCACCTGTTGAATGGGTTCATTTCTAGGCATCGCTTCAGAATAGTTGTGCTCCACTCTCAGAGCGGCTTAGAAACCGGGACTTTGCCGCCAGGCTGAGTCCCTTCGGCTTCTTTGCCCTGCCCGGTGGCTTGAGGGGAAGGCGTTTGGCGAGTAGCCAGGGCTTGGGGAAGCTGCCTTTCCTCCCCTTCCTCTCCTTCCTTCCCTCCTTGCTTCCTTCCTTTTCCCCAAGCGGCATGAGCTCATGCGAAAGAACTCCCCGCTGCTGCCTGAGTGACGGAGTGGGCTAAATATAGGGCCCGGGAGAGGACAGAGAGGGGAGGTTGAAGGGGGGGGGGAGAGAGAGAGAGAGAGAAGGGAGGCTCCGCCCCCTGGACCCCCCCCCCCCCCGGCGCGTGCCTTGCCTTGCCTCGCTTTCCCCCCTGCGCATCATGGTCTCCCTTTCCCCCCTCAGGTCCCGGCCGAGCGCAGCATGCCGGCCCTGCTCCTGCTCCTGCGCGCCCTCCTGACCCGCCTGCTGCTCTTGGCCCGGAGGCGCCTCTTTCCTCTGCTCCGCCGCCTCGGAGCCCGGGTGACCTCCCAGGAGTCCCGCCAAGCCATCCTCACCTGCCTCCTCTGCGTCCTCAACTTGCGCAAGAAGGTGGACCGCGACTGAAGAGGAAGCAGGAGAAAGGAGGAGGATTCAGCCCTTTCTAGCCCCAACTCTGCCCAATGGAGCCCCTCAGCACCTGCCCCGACTGCTCCCCTTTGGCTGAGACTCCCCTTTGAGGAAAGGAGGGTCTTCTCTCTTTCAGGGCGACAGGGGGCGCTCCGGAGGCGACGAAGAAGAGGAGGAGGGGGAGGACTCCGTCCTGGGCAGGTGAAGGGCATCGGCTGCCCCTCCTCGCAAGCTCCCTTGTTAAGGCTTCACTTGGAGAGGACAAGAAGGCCGACGTCATCCTAGAGCAGCCAGTTTCCCCCTTGCTAAGGCTTCACAAGAAGGTCAACGTCAACCTAGAGCTGCCAGTATCCCTCCTGACGCTTTCGGGGCGATAGGGGGCGCCCTGGAGGAGAGGAGGAGGAGGAAGAAGAAGAAGAAGAAGAGAAGGACTTTGCTTTGCCCAGCCACCAACTCTATCCAAGTGAGTGGCACCTCCTCCTCCTCCTTTGCTTGGACTTCACTCCAAACTGAGAAGGAAGACCTCCTCCCAGAGCAGCCAGTTCTTCTCCAACACTTTCAGGCACTCTGGAGGTTTTGATTTTTTGTGTGTGTCAAGAGCAACTTGAGAAACTGCAAGTCGCTTCTGGTATGAGAGACTTGTCTGTCTGAAAGGGGACGCCAGATGTTTTTGATGTTTTACCATCCTCGTGGAAGGTTTCTCTCATGTCCCCGCATGGGGAGTTGGAGCTGACAGAGGGAGCTCTACCTGATCTCCCCGGATTCAAACAGCTGACCTCTCGGTCAGCAGTCCTGCCAGCACAAAGGTTTATCCATTGTGCCAACGGGCCACTCTGGAGGTGAGGAAGAGGAAGAAGACACAGCCTTTGCAGCCCCTACTCTTAGGTGATGGTGTGTTTTTAGCAATGTTGTAACTTGCCTCGAGCCACAAGGAGAGGCGGGTAAGAATTATTATTATTATTATTATTATTATTATTATTATTATTCACTCTGCACAAGTAAGTGGCATTGGCAGCCCTCAGCACCAGCAGCCACCACTTCCTTCTCCCTTCCTGAGATTTTACTTTGAGGGAGTGAGAACAAAAGTTTCATGCTAGAGCAGCGGACTTTGTGTCAACGTTGGGGCCTTGATGCTTTCGGGACAAGAGATTTGCCATAATCTGTAAGCCTCTCTGAGTCCCCTTTGGGGTGAGAAAAGCGGGGTATAAATATAGTAAATAAATAGTAATTAAGAGGAGATTCCCTGGGGGCCAGGAGGTGGAGGATTCACCATTGTACAGCCAACTATGTTCAAGTGAGTGGCCCCTGCAACTTCTCCCACAGCTTCCTTTGCTTGGATTTCATTTGGAGGGAGCAAGAAGGAAAATGTCACCCTAGAACAGCTTGTTCTTCAATGGAAGGGCCTTCACACTTTCAGGTCCTCTGGAGGTGAGGAAGAGGAGGAGGAAGACTGAGCCTTTGCAGCCCCAACTCTGCTCAGGTGAGGGGCACTGGCAGTCCTTCACCACTTGCAGCCACCTGCTCCTTCTCCCTTGTGGGGACACAAGGAAACATCACCTTAGAGCAGCCCACTCCACTCCAAGAGGAGGAACTTTGCCATTTCAGGGTGGTAAGGAGCGCTCTGGAAGTGAAGAGGAGAAAGAAGAAGACTCAGCCTTTGCAGCCCCAATTCTGCACTGGTGAGTTGTACCAGCAGTCTCTCAGCATCTGCAGCCGCCTCCTCCTCCTCCCTTGCAGAGACTTCATTTGGAGGGAGGGAGAAGGAAAACGTCATCCTAAAGCTGGCCTTTCAGGGCGATAGGGGGCGCTCTGGTTGCCCAAGCCAGGAAAAGGGAGCCTTCAGCAGCCCTCAGGAGAAGAAGGAGAAAGGCTCCCTCTCTGATCTCATTCCTCCAGATCCACCCCCAGGCAAACTCTTCCAGCTTCATGTTTCTGAGAATTATTTCCACCACCCCCTTTTTGCTTTGAAGCCAGGCCTGAGCTCCCACCCACGGCTCTGTTCTGCTCCACGCTTTGGTTTTTCTCATGGTGCTTGCATGTGGTTCCCCATCGCCACAGTGGCTAGAGAGGTCTGGAAGGGTGGCCGCAGCATGACTTCAACTGCTTGGGATCCAGAAAAGATCAGAAGCTCTTTTTTGGGGGACCCATCAAGGCAAGCTTGAGTTCTAGGAGAATTCTGAAGTAAGGCTGGCCAGTTAAGCAAATGCTTTGCAACATTTAACTCGTGTGGCGGAACTGAACAAGAATTTCGTCTCTAGAGACTTTGGCATTAGATTTGTTACCTTTTTCTAGGATTCTCCAACCTTTGAATGCCTTGAACTAAATAATCTGGGTGACAGACACACATACACACACACCGGGTCCAATGCTTGAGGAACAATGTCTGACAGCACAGCAAGGAAAGTCCAGCCATTCACAATCAGTACAAAGCTTTCCTTACCAAAGTGCTCTCTGGATTTTCCGGGAGAAAGCTGTCAAGGCATCTCAGTCACTGCTCTGGATAACTCTGGCTTGCACAAAAACCTCAATGAGAGTGTTTCTCTGTATCTGGCTCGGAGTTCCCCAGTGCCCACAGGAGATGGATTCAAGAGCACCAGCCCAAATGAGGGTTCTGTCACCCATGAAGATCGCCTCAACTGCAACTCCTTGTCCCGCTCCATCAAGAAGATCACACTGTCCAACTGGCAGGGGGAGCCTGGTCCAGGTGAGCGGCATGGGATGCTTGGGGGCTCTCGCCATGGCAGCTCTGAGAGGAACTGCAATAACAACAACTGCAGAACAGGAAAAGCACAGTTCAAGGTAAGCTATTCCTTACCCACCCCACCCTTTATTTTGTTAGGCTCGGGCACTCCTTTCCTAATCTCTGTGTTGAAATCTAATCCCCACCCGGTTTCTTCTCAGTCTCTGGAATCTTTTGTCCCCCTCATCATGTATGTAGCTGGGTTGGCAATTCAAGGGTCAATTTGTGTCATGATTTTTTTTACCATGTCTTATCTATGTCTTCCTCTGGTGGAATCTCAGTCACTTGGGAGCTTTGCATTATTACTTCTCACTTTGTGGCAAAAGTAACTCTAAGCAAGTTGACAGTAGGAAATGAGGAGCTTATTGGAGACAAATGAAGTCATTTTTTTTCTTAGACTGAACAAAGCTCCTTTTGGCTCGGAAGCATCTTTCTCTGTCATAATTGACTTCATTGTCTGATACTGTTCTTGTGAAAACTGTCAGCCTGCTTGGAAATTAGTTTTCACACAACTCTTCCAAAAATTGAGATTATAGCATTGGGTTTGTTTGAGGTTTTTGAGGGTGTGGGGGTTTCCTTTTCTGAATTATTTCATTTCCATGTTCTGAGTTCATATGTCCCCTCTTTGTATATACAATCTATTGATGGTGTCATGAAGAAGAAGAAACAACAACTTGGAACATGCTGTAACAAGCCTAGGAAATGTTACCAAGCACCTAAGTTTTCCTCTTCCAGCAAACTTTCTAACAAGGCATGTCAGTTCTGGGCAGACTTTGTAAGAATATGGCATGCAGAGTGAAACTGGCAAGGGCTTGGATGTACAGCGGTTGAAAGCATGCAGTAGTAATACCCAGGCTTGAATGTAAAGGATAGAGTTGCTCATACTGTAGAAGGCTACTGTTCTAGTTTTCTCAGCCTGAGACTCCCTCATTGATGCTTGTAATTCAGAGCTGCCTTCTTTACTTGCTCAAGAGTTTTCTATGTAGACACAAGAAGAGCTTAGAAAAGTTACCTCTTTGGATTACAATTTCCACCATCCCCCAGTCAGTGTGGTAACTACAAATATCCTGCTATAGCAAATCCAGGCTGGTTTTGAGCAGAATTGGAAAACAAATTGCAGTATTACCTCTGGCTAATTGTGTGGGTTTAGAAAAAACACGCCCTGAACTTTTTGTGGGAAAAGGGTAGGCAAATCTCTGGAAAATGCATTGTCAGTCACATTTTCTCCAAGTGAATGCTTCAGGTGAATGTCTCAGGATTACATCAGATTGATTTTCTCATTATAAAAGTTCACCACTATTTGTTTACTAACCAAAATCCCTGCATGGATTTTAAATATTAGAGATGGACAATATGCAATACTGTGGTTAAATCCATGATGTCATGGTATGCTAGCATTTAGTTTTGTGAGCTTACGAAACATGTCCCAGTAGGCTAAACTGAGGCCACGCAGCTCAGTTTTGAGCAAAGATTTTGACAGATTTCTTGTAATGTATGACAAAGGCATTACCTCACTGTGCTATCTCATCAGCTTCAGGGAAAGTGGCCTTCAAGCTGACCTTGAAATCCTGGCCAAGATTCTGTGTGCGTAAGTCCTTCTGTATTTCCCTGGCACTGAGCCTGGCAGAACCCAGACTGGTTTGTTCCTTAGGTGCATTAATCTACCCCTTCATTTGTGTGGTCAGCACCAGCCAGTGAGCCTTGGTGCCAGTTGGGTCTCCATCGAAGTACCCACTTTCCAAAGCAATAGAAAGAAGGTTAACTGGGTTCTTGTTTTCACATGTGCTCCCGGCTGCTGCTTGTTGGATGGGATGAGAGGCAGGGAGGGAGGAGTAGAGCGGGGGAGCGTTGCCTCTGCAATCCAAGCAGAGCTGCTCTGCAGGAAGGATGAGATCATCTTGCGCTGACAGCCTTGTTTTCCTGCAGCTGATGGATTGAGGGGGTTTCGTATGTAAATAAAACACTTATGTCACCTGAAAGCTTATCTCCCAGAACTGAGCTCAAGCTGGGGAAGTGCCAAGTGGGCTGTAGTGGTGGTAGGTAATATTTAAATATAAGGACAGGTTTAACCATGAGTCTTTCCAGCCACAGGGCATCATGCCCAGCAATGTAACAGCCGTTCAGTGTTTCTAACAACCAGCCATCCCATAAATAGGACAGGAGCAAAGCACCACCAATGAATCTATCAGCATTTTCCTCAACAGAGAAGTCAATTTGCTTTGTCTCCAGCTGGATCTGCACTGTCCTACATCCCAGGATCAGATTCCGAATTATCTGCTTTGAACTGGATTATATGAGCCTACACTGCCAGATAATCTGGAATAGACAGATAATTGCTTTTAGGGTATTTGTTGTGATGTTTACTTATGTTTGCTTAACTATGTCTTTTTGGATTGTTTTGTTTTATTTTTCATCACAATGCTTACGGTAATTCTTTGTCGTAAGCTTACTTATTATTGTTGCTTTATTGTGTATTATTTTGATATGTTTGTACTCACCTGAGGCATTGCATTTTTTTTGTATGTGTAAACTGCCCTGAGTCACTTCAGTGAGAGAGGGCGGTCTAGAAATAAAGTATTATTATTATTATTATTATTATTATTATTACCTGGGATCAGATCCTGGAATATAGGGAGTGTTGATCCAGCTTCAGCCACCCAGCTTCCCAATGCAGAGCTCTTTCATGTTCTTTATGTTTTATCCAGATAATAAGATATCCTAAGCCACTTTGAGTCTCATTCTGCAGAGAAAAAGCAGGGTATAAATAAATATATTAAAACAATACCCCAGACTTTTCTCTTAGTATATATGTCTCCAATAAAAAGGACTGTTCCACTTCCAAGGTGGAATAGTCTTTTTTGCTCCTTCATTTGCTGAAGAATAGCCTCTCATCAGGAAGCTAGCTAAGAAATGTTCTGGATTTTTTTAACCACCTGTCCACTAGACCTCAGTGCATTACAGAAAGTAATAAAGAAAAGGTACATCCATAGAAAAATCCATTAGCAGGTAATTCAGACATTTAAAGAACATCCCACCATGCATCCTAGGGATATAAGATATTCTAAACAGCAAGAAATATAATGTAAATATTGCATTTTTTTTCCATAGCAGATTGCACCCCTCCCACCTCAAATTAAACTTTCTGATGGATTGGGGCTCAAAACAGTTGAGTTTGTCTGATCAAACCATTCCATATACATAACAAGCCCTAGGCAGTTCTACAAAAACGCATTTCACAATACTTGTAAGTAAGCCCACAAGGACTAATTTTCAAATAAAATGCAAAAGTTTGCAGTATTAGAAGCTCAACACTGAGGAAATGGATGCAATTTTATTTAACAAAGTATAAGGTATTCTGTGTCCAGAGAAACAGAAGTAAATAATGCAGAAAGTGCACACAAACTGCCATTTCTGCAGAAAGTGCAGTTATTATTGAAATAATATATGCACATATTTATCTTACTCTTTTTGTTATAATTCTTTGATCATATCTTGTCAGTATTTTAGTGATTTAGGGGCCCTTCCACGCAGCCTTATATCCCAGAATATTAAGGCAGAAAATTCAGAATATCTGCTTTGAACTGGGTTATCTGAGTCCACACTCAGATAATGTGGGATTTTCTGCCTTGATATTCTGGGATATAGGGCTGGGTGGAAGGGCCCTAAGTCTCAGTTTTTGTTAAATGTGTGACCACAGCAGCAGTTCTCTCTTTTGTTCTGAATCATGAACTCTGATAAGCATTTGTGTTCCCTGGGTGATGCCTCTCTGCCAAGGTGACGTCATCCCCTTTGTTCTTTTCAATGGAAACTTCTGCAGATCAGTATTTTCCTCCCTGCTCATCCTGATAAGTGCAGCCATATGCACAGTAACTCTACCTTTATTTATTTATTGGCCATTCCTTAGGAGTGAGCCAAATTTGTAACCATCATCTGCTCAAAGGGCGTGCCAGAATGAGCTATGCTGGTGAAGGGACATTGACTTCATGTTTCATCACATAAGTGTGTGGTACTTGTTTAGCACATTACCTTCTAAACATGGTGCTATTCCTGGAGATAATGCTTGTATTCGGGGAGTTACTTTATTCCTTGGCTGCTAATAAGTATCACAGAGAACAATGTGTTCTAATACTGCAGTCATCCTTCCTAGTTAAATCTGGCCATTTCCCATGTGAATGATCTGTTTTACTTTCCAAACAGAATAATTTTTTGTGTAAACTTGAAGGATGGTGTTTTCTTGAAGTCACTTAATTTGAAATGTTATCCTCTCAGGAAAACATATGGTACAAGTAAACATACAGTATTGGGTAAGCTCTAGATCTTGGGAACCTATTAGTTTGGGGCCTTTTTCACTGTCCCTTTTCTGACAACATTTGAATAGTATTGACTTCCATTCCTATTTGGCAGCCTAAAATCATAGAATAATAGAGTTGGAAGAGACCACATTGGCATTCTAGTCCAATCACCTGCCATGCAAGAAAAGCACAATCAAAGCACCCTCAACAGATGGCCATCCAGCCTGTTTAAAAGCCTCCAAGAAAGGAGCTTCCACCACACTCTGAGACAGAGAATTCCACTGTTGAATAGCTCTTACAGTCAGGAAGTTTTTCCTAATGTTCAAGTGGAATCTCCTTCCCTATAATTCGAACACAAATAATACTTAAATGAAAAACCATAGATCGAATGTTGGGCTTTCATGTAGGTTTGCATCTTAGCTGAACAAATCTTTCTGCCAGGTAATGATTTTTGGAAAACCACATTTAATGTGTTGCTGAAGGCTTTCATGGCTGGAATCACTGAGTTGCTGTGAGTTTTCCGGGCTGTATGGCCATGTTCCAGAAGCATTCCCTCCTGTTGTTTTGCCCACATCTGTGGCAGGCATCCTAAGAGGTTGTGAGGTCTGTTGGAAACTAGGCAAGTGAGGTTTATATCTCTGTTGCAATTGGCCACCTTGATTAGCATTAACTGGCCTTCTCTGCTTTGCTTCAAACAGAGAAGAGTTCTTTCTCCCACCCTGGACATTCCACAGATGTGGATGAAATGTCAGGAGAGAATGCTTCTGGAAGATCACCATACAGCCCAGAAAACTCACAGCAACCAAACTATATTTAACTTCTGTACTTCTTTTGTGTTTGGCAATATATCCAAATTAAATGTTGAAGATGATGAAGATGAGGCCAACAAATGTTTACTTTTGGCCATCATCTCATAGAGTCATCGAACTGGAATTGATCTTAAGGGCCATCCTGTCCAACCCCATTCTGCCATGCAGGAGCACACAAATTAAAGCACTCTCAACAGATGGCTATGCAGGCTCTGTTTAAAATCCCCCAGAGAAAGAGACTCTATCATTCTCTGAAGCAGCTTATTCTCTTAGAATGGTTACAGGTGTGTTTGCAAAAAAGCAGTAATAGATGAATATATGTATTTAAAACAACAACTGGGGGGCATGGCAGATCTCAAAGCATTGCCTGGAGATATTATGCTTTATGCAGAAGTTGGGCAATGATGGTGAAATCTGGGCTTGAAAAAAATTCATTTACTCTTCCACTCCAGCCTGAACAGCTTAAAAAACCAGCCACCTAATTAAGTGGCCTTTGGAATCCTAGAAGATGTAATATAGCTAGGTGAAACTTCATTCTCACCTGTTACATTACTTCCCCTTCTAGGTCTTTCTCAAAAAAGAGGGAGGAATAGATGAAGAAAAGAAAGAAGTCAGGAAGCTCCAAGCTGGGAGTTGTTCTTCAGCAGCTGCTCCCCTTCACATGGTATGTGTCATTGTATCTTTCTCGTTCAGTTTTTCCAAACCAGTGGCCACACTGGCTGTGGATAACAAGACTCTTAACATAGGGTGAGCTCCCATCTGTCAGCCCCAGCTTCCCATGTGGGGACATGAGAGAAGCCTCCCACGGGATGGTAACACATCTAGGCATTCCCTGGGCAACATCCTTGCAGATGGCCAATTCTCTCACAGCAGAAGCAACTTGCCTTGATAAAAAACCTCAAAAACTCATAGGAGTGGCAATGCAATCCTTCCACGTTCTGAGCAGTGCTGAAATATTTTATATTCAGCTATAGGGCTCAAATCTGTCCTAGCCAACCTGCTGCTCTCCAAATGTTGTGGATTACGTGATCTAAAAGCCAAAACATCTGGAGTACAGAAGGCCGGGGCAAATGCTGATTTAAGTTGCTGTTCTTTGTAATGCTGCTAAACAAGATTCTTCTGCCTGGTGTATTGACCAATATCTAGCCCGGCAATATTTAAAAGGCCGATGTATTAGCTGTTTGGAGTAAAATAAATGTATTATTTAGATGCAATAAACTTTATTAAATAACTTATGTTAAGTATTCTGTAGGGTCCTTGGAAAGTTAAATGTTCTGGCCCTTTTCTATGGGATCTTACATTATGTTTAAGAGTGGAACATGGAAGCAAAATGGTGAAAGAAACATAGGAGTCTATTACCATGAATGGTAATTAGGGAATTAATGACATTGTTGGAAAATACTATTGTATCATCATGGGTGTTGTTTAACTAAATATTTTCAAAAAGTAAAACTAGGAATAGTAGTAAGAAGTAGTACCATATCAATAATGCATAATGCTCAGAGTCTGCTCATCAGTGCTTTTGTTGTACAATATCTCAGCAGGTAAAGCATTATTTGAAAGGAAGATCTGTAAACAGTGACCAAGAAATGGAGAAAAGATGGTCACGGATTGTGCATGAAAATTGGACATACTGAAAGTCCTTTTGACTGGGGTAAACTTCAATAAAGTAAAGTTTTGCAGAATTGCTATTAGGCAGGTGTTTTAAATAGGCACCCATTCAGTAGTACTGCCTCAATGGAGGTGTGATGTGCAATTCGATTTGAAGGCACAAACACATAGAAAATGTTAGGGGACTTACTTGTGAATCCTCAGAAGCTATGCCTGCCCCATGACAGTCTCCTTTTTTGTCTCCCTTTACGAAGTGCCTTCCTTGCTCATTTCCAGTCCCCTTCCTCATTCCTTTTAGGGAGAGATGCACAGCCACCTTGAGTCTTTTCCTGGGAAAAAGGTGGGATATACATGCCATAAATAAATAAATAAACAGGTTTCAAAACCCCAGGGTTTCTTCATTAGTCAAAGATAGCAAAAAGCACACAGAGGAAGGGAAGTAGGAGTATTAGGAATTCAGATTTGAAAGGGGATAGAAACCTCATAGGATAGGCACTTCTCGACTTCAGTAAATCCCAATGTTCTGCTGTTCCTATGAAGGAACGTTCACTTACTCCTGAATGAGTCCAGCTTACTAAAAATATGTACATGACAGACCTAATTCTATGTGTCATCTGCAGCTAAATAAGGATTTTGGTAGCAGATGAGGGTTAACTTTGTGGCCTTATTGTAAACCTATTTTTACAGGGCTACAACCTCTTCAGAATATGCATCTAAATTGATCTTAAAGTTTATCACACTTGTGAGTCATGTTCTACATATAGTATGGCCCTGTCCCTGGCCCCTCCCAATTTAAACTTCCTCAGCTTAGAGGTCTTGTTTTGCAAAAACTGTGTGGTATGTGTGCTGTCAGTGTTTTGCACACAGGAGTGTTGAGCTTCTTGTTCCATGTTCTCCCATTTAAGAGCAGCCAGTACTGACCTTCCTTCCTGCAGTGGGATTTGAGATACTGTGTTTACAAATTTAGCCCTCCATGGTAGTTTGCAGCTGGACCTTGGACTGCATTTGGAAGGAAGCCATTTCTGTAGCTGGCTGACCTTAGCTGCCTTGGAACAGTGACAGAACATTACATCATGGCTGACCAGAAGAACAAAGCTTGGAAAAATTTCAGAGTTTCTCTCACTTGACGAGTTACTTAAAATAAGTGTCTCCAGGCTGCCTTTGAGAAGTAGGGCCTGAGCTCATTTCTAAAAGAAAGCAGGGAGGGAAAGTCACCCATTTGTTTCAGGAGCATCTTTGCTTAAGGACTGAGCATAACAGGAAAAAAAATAGAAATTTAGATTTACTGTCCCTTGGGCTTGAGAAGTAAAGAAGGGGTGGTCAGGATAGTAACATGAGATGAAGCTACAGATTGTTTCTTTACAAATTTTCCTGGGGTGCATCTACACTGTAGAATTAATGCAGTTTGGGACTGCTTTAACTGCCATCACTCATTGTGCCAGCAGGACTGAAGAACAACAGGTCGTAGGTTAGAATCTGGGGAGAGTGTGAATGAGCTCTGTCTGTCAGCTTCAGCTCTCCATGCAGGGACATGAGAGAAGCTCCAACAAGGATGGTAAACATCAAAACATCCGGGTATCCCCTGGGCAACGTCCTTGCAGACGGCCAATTCTCTCACACTAGAAGCGACTTACAGTTTCTCAAGTCGCTCATGACACCAAAAAAAGGGAGTTGTTGTTTTACAAGGTCTTCTTCAGACTTCTCTGCCAAGGAGTGTGGGTGCCTCACCAAACTACAAATTCCATAATTCCATAGCATTGAGCTATGACAGTTACAATGGTTTGTCTCAACTACATTGCAGATGCATCTTGGAGTATATGTTTAGCTTATCTCAGGTAGAACTTGAGAAAGTTACTTTTTTTGGACTATAGCTTCCACCAGCCATATTGGCTGAGGCGATCTAGAACTGTAGTCTGAAAAGTAACTTTTCCAAGCTCTGACCTCATGCTTGATTCTCAGTAGTCTTCAACAGGAAAGATGTCTGGAAACTTTTCTCTGGAATCATTCCACCAGTCAGCCGTGCATTTGTATAGAGTTAGAGAGACCATTCATTCACTTGTGATAAATCAGACCCTTGCAGTGAATTAACAATGTGAAAACATTGAAGGATTTCAAGGGAACCAAACTGGATGAATGAACAGTCTGGTGGTGGCAGAATAAATGGGTCCGGGATTAGTCAGGGAGCTCATATGGGTCAGATTCTTATGCCGTGATGTGAGAGACAGATGCTGTCATAGAATAGAAACTTGCCAAGAAGTGAGAGATCAAGCAAATAAATAAGAAATGTGTCTTCCGCATAGCAATAGGGATCTTAGCACTTCATCCATTTGAGATTATTCTCAAAGACCCTATATGACAAGAGAAGGCATATTTCTTCATTCACACATCAACCTTGTTGCAGAGGTAAGTCCCATCTTTTAATAGGCACAGTGCATACAGAGAAAGCAGTGCTGAATCCTCCTCAGTGTTATCTCACTACACTATATCACAGGAACAAAGAACAGGAACAAAATCTGAGACTTTCTTTTCTTTTGTCAGTCTGGGCGAGCTGAAAATTTCAAAAGCTCGGGATACATTTAACAAAGCAACAATGTATGTGCGAGACTCCCAAATTCTGTCTCAGAGTAGGTTACTCCAAGCTGTGTTACTATGTCAAAGATACTTCAGAATTCACAGTAGTAAAAGTGCAATTCTCATAATTCAACAAAGGATATACTATTCATGGAATAAGTAACAGACATAAATAAAAGCATATAGAAACAACTATATAGCATATAGAAATAAGTCCTGGAACTGTGAAAAGTCTTGAGTCCAATACCAGTAGTAGTCGAAAAAATTGTAGTTTTAGAAAGCCTTCCATCTTTTATACCAAATAATATTGGCACTTCACCAAACTACTAGTCCCATGATTCTATAGCATTAAGCCATGACTGCTAAAGTGGGTCAAATTGTATTAATACTACAGTGTAGATATACCTTTAATGAGAGGCTGTTGAATCCTCTTTATTTAATTATACAAGTTGTGATATTCAACATTGTTCCTGATATGCACAGAATAGAAATGAATAAACCTATTTAAACGTACAAGTAAGAACATGAGTCCTAGGCACTACTTCCTTGGGATGTCACAAGAAATGCTCCTTGGTGATGTCAAAAGGAGCAGACCCTGGTAATGTCATGAGGGATGACAGTATAAAACACAGTTGTACAGAGTATGCCATTCAAATAAAAAATACCTTTTCTAATAAGTCAGGGAAATATACATATGTGTGTACACCAACTTTTCAAAGCAATTTTCTTGTGCTGAGATTTCTCCCCTGCACTTTGGGGACTGAGAAAGAGGGTCAGGCCTTGTGAGCTACAAACCCTTTTCATTGATATCTGACCTGTTTTCCTATCACGGATTCAACCAACCAGAGCTGGAAAATATAAAAAAAAAATAGTGGGTTGCTGTAAGGTTGTGAGGTCAGACCTCACAACCTCTGAGGATGCCTGCCATAGATGCAGGTGAAATGTCAGGAGAGAATGCTTCTGAAACATGGTCAAAAACCCCAAAAAAACTTACAGCAACCCAGTAATTCTGGCCATAAAGGCTTAGACAACACATTAAAAAATAATTCAAAAGCAAACCTTGATTTTGTCACATGCAGAGTGATACACTAATGTTAGGCACACCCTGCTGTAGTTTCCCACTGTTTCACGGATCCTCAGAGTCTCTCTAGGATTCGTTTGAGTGGTTCATCATTTTATATAAGGAACATCACGTTACTAATTGTCATTTGTATATAATGGAACTTGAGCATCCACAGAATCTGGTATCCATGAGGAATCCTGGGACCAAACCCAGGCAGATACAGGGGCTCACTGCTTTATTAGGTGGTCAAAACACACCATGCTTAAACTTATGTAAACCTTAATTCTTAACTATGAAGTTTCTTACAAATATACTTAGAAGTGCCCCCAATGAGCTCAGTGTTGCTTATTCCAAATAAGAATACAGTACATAAAATAGTTTGCAAGCAGTATTTATTGTTCTTAGGAGCTATCAATTACCACAGCTGCCTTTTTATTGCTTTATTGTTTAGTACGCTTTTAATGGGAAATTTCCGAGAAAGCTTAACTGCATAGGAGTCTTGGTGATCCAATCACCTAGAGGACAAAGTTTGAGAATCAGTGTTATAAACTTGCCTAGTTTCCAACAGACCTCACAACCTCTGAGGATGCCTGCCATAGATGTAGGTGAAACATCAGGAGAGAATGCTTCTGGAACATGGCCATACAGTCCGGAAAAGTCACAGCAACCCAGTCACTGTTATATTTATTTGTATTCTGTCTTTCCTCCAGTTTGGGACTTAGGCTGGGTTACAGCAATTAAAACAAACATAATTTGTTTTATTGTCTGACAGCATATTATATACAAAAGTTAAAAAAACAAACCGTCACAAAATCTGCAACCAGCTAAAACAAACTAAAACAACAGTAACAAATAAAAGTCTTTGCACCTTATGCAAGCCATGTTTTTCAAAGGTCTGCCAAAATACTTGTGGAAAGGGTAATCTTACATCATAGAATTCTTGGGAAGATAAAGTGAGGATACTGCCTTGAGCATCCTTGAAGAAATGTGAGGTGTAAATGTTACTAATAAATAATACAGTAATTTGGACATATTTGTAGTGACACACAGATTTAGGCTTGGCATTCAAGGGCCTGATATGGCAATTTATTCTCCAAAACGGATTTGGCATCTCAACTAATGGGCAATTGGGACACAGCTGCTCTGGTTTGATGTGGCTCAGAGGAAATGCAATAATTTTTTCTCTCTCTCTTTTCCCACTCCCTTCTAGACTGCAGACTCTGCTGTTTCAGCTTTATGGAAGGAGGGTGTCAAGAACACACAGGCAAGTGAAGTAGTGGGGCTGAAACTTGGCACCCAGAGCAGCCCAGGGCTGGAAGACCTTTGCAGCAAGAGCCCCCTCACTACTCAGTTCAACCGCGATATGTTGCAGGTAAGGGCAGAGCTTGGCAAAGGAAAGAATTTGGCTTCAGTGCCTTTGTGGAGTGGGATAGTGGAAGACTGTTCTGCTTGTCTTTTCAAACATTGCAGTAGAAAGGAAAGGAGAGTAGAATTTTTATTGCCAAATGTCTTTCCTCTTTTAGAGTGAGAGGAACGTGCAGACGGAAGAAGGCAAGGCTTTTTTGGCATGGAGGAGGCTGTTCCTATACCATGAGGTCATCCTAGCAGCCTCTCTTTAAGATGAAGGACCAGAGGGGACAGTAACTTAATCCACAGAAATCTGATTTCTTGCCCATCATTGTGCAGAGGGGGCTAAATCATAGTTCTTTAAATATATACAGAATTATACTGCATAACTGGCAAGTTTTCTTGCCAGAGCTGCTCTCATTCTGAAGGCCAGAAGTAAAATGTCTAGCACTTTGGCCACATTAAAGTGATGCCCTGAACATACTTATAGTTGCAGTCTCCAAACTTGAGGCTGAAGCAGTTTTGCATTTACTTCATAGCCAAAAACACTTTGAATATTGATTCAAAGTGCTTTCTGCTGCTTGAAAATAGGAATTCTGTGTTTTTGAAAGTACTAGTTACAGATGAGTTAGATATAGAATGACATTGTGCCATGGTAGTGATTCCATTTGTGATTGGGAAGGCTGCAATGAATGGATGGCCTATGAGGTCTCTTCCAACTCTATGATTCTATTATTACCAGCCTTGTGTGGTAACGTCCTAAAAGAAGAATGCAATTGAAAATGCAGAAAAGTAAAATAGAATGAAATTAATGTATTGTTGAAGACTTTCATGGCTGCAATCACTGGGTTGCTGTGAGTTTTTCGGGCTGTATGGCCATGTTGGGCCTCTGCAAGACCTCCCATTGTTTACCCCTCTTTCAGCCCTTTTTAGTTAGAGGGAATTAGCATTTTCTGTATAGTTTTGTGCAGGGCCGGTCTAGAAAGCCTCTTTCCCTTTGAAGCCTTTGTTGCCATGCCCCTTTAAGCATCCCCTCATGTGCAGAGCCTCAGGCAAGGCACTTCTGGTTCTTGGGAAGTCAGGCTTTTTGGTGACTGGAAGGTGAAAAGAGAAGAAAGCTGAAAAGTCCACAAAATAGCATGTCCAGTTGGAGCTGTATTCATGTGCAGTCAGAGTTACGTTCTAGCCCAGTCAGAGTTAAATATTGAGACATCACACAAGAAAGAGACAATAGAAGAAGAGCCTCAGTTCAGCCAGAACTGTGTCTATCTCTCAAAGACTTTACCTTTCCTCATAAAGACTTTGTAATGGATCTCACGAGGAGAGAAAGTCTAAAATTCTTGTCAGTTAATAAATTCTTGTTTGATTCAAATATATAGTCTCCAATCTGTTTCCTGCACAGTCAGTTCACCTTCCAAGTAGTTAAGATAGTGTGGGGGCAGAACAGGCCATGTTCTAGCAGCATTCTCTCCTAACATTTCTTCTGCATCTGTGGCTGGCATCTTCAGAGGTTCTGTTGGTAGTGAGGCAAGGGAATTGTATATATACCTGTGGAATATCCAGGGTAGGAGAAAGAACCCTTGTCTGTTTAAAGCAAGTGTGAATATTGAAAATTAGCAAGCTTGAATTAGCATTTGAGTAGCCATAAAGTTTGCAAAGTCAATCAGTGAGGGTTTCTGCATAAAGGCAACCTGGCCTTCTTCAGCCACACATGCATGTGAAAAACATTAGGAGAGAATGCTGCTGGAACATGGCCATACAGCCCAAAAAATCACAGTAACCCAAAATTTAAAATAATTCACAGCATTAAAATAATTCAAACCACCCATGAAAAGAATTTGACAAAATTTAAAAGATAAAAAGCTATTTATTTCTCTTGTCTCTTCTGTTTCTCTTCTCTTGGTTAAAGACCTGAAGAAAGAGAGCAATTCTATAGGATAGCAATTCCATAATGTACAACATTAAAGGGTATATTGAGTAGTCCTGTGTTGCAATGATGGAGAAGCCTGTTGCCTTCCTGATGTTGTTGCATCATCCTTGCTGTCTGAGATTGATGGGAGTTAATATGTGGCGGGATATGGCTTCCACAATATCTATTTCTTATTGTTATCAAATTTGCCTGCTATTCAACCTTTTATTGATACAGCAAATATTTCAAATTCCTAAAGGAAGTAGACCATGTTTTTCTCTAAAGATTTATCCATTTCCCTCATCTATTTTACATTTCTGTTCCAGGCTGAAAAATGGGTGCAAGGAAAACTCCTCGACCTAAAGGATGGTTGCAGTATTCAGGAATGGGGGCGCATGGCCCAAACTTTACAAAGAGATATGAAGGACTTCGATAATACTATGATCAAGCTGAATCAGGTACAGCCAAAGATCCTTAGTAACTTATGTTCTATATCTGAATTTGATTCATGCTTTCTCCCTCTACTGTTGTCATGTGCCATTGAGTCAGATTTGACAGTGACACTATTAACTGAAAACTTTCAAGAAAGCCTATTAGTAGCATTGCTTCAATTTTGCAAACTCAAAGCCATGTTTGTCTTTATTGAGTCAATACATCTGTAATATGAGTTTCCTCTTTCCCAGATGTTTTCAAACATGTTAAGACTTTCTGTGTATTGTCAAAGGCTGTCATGGCCGGAATCACTGGGTTGTTGTAGGTTTTTCAGGCTGTATGCCCATGTTCTAGAAGCATTCTCTCCTGACGTTTCACCTGCATCTATGGCAGGCATCCTCAGAGGTTGTGAAATCTGCTGTAAACTTAGAAAATTGGGTTTATATATCTGTGGAAAGTACAGAGTGGGAGAAAGAACTCTTGCCTGTTGGAGCTAGGTGTGAATGTTCAATTGGCCACCTTGATTAGCATTTGATGGTCTGACAGTTTTAGGTGTGTCTTGTTACTGCCTGGGGGAATCCTTTGTTGAGAGGTGATTGGCTGTCCCTGATTGTTTCTTGTCTGTTTCTCTCAACAAAGGATTCCCCCAGGTAGTAACAAGCCACACCTAAAAACTGTCAGGCCAACAAATGCTAACAACAAAAGATGGTCTATAATTTATCATTTCCTTTCTGTAGAACATATCTCTACTTTCAGATTCATCTCTGCATTTATCTACACCTTAGTTCAAGAGTTTCTCAGAAAGTCAGTGATGGAATGATTCTTCAACATACTTCTTTTTATTCCATTCTACAGATGGGTGAGCAACTGATGATCCGACCAAACCACAGCATGGAGATCTCAAGGCGGCTGCAGTCCCTGCAAGAACAGTGGCAACTGCTGAAGCAAATGGCAACAAACCAGAACAAACCAGTGGGAGGACTCAGGAGTCTACAAGAGTTCAACCAGAAAGCTGAACAATTGGAAGCTTGGATCAGACAGAAGGTACCTTACCAGGCACAAACAGGGCCAAAGCCAGGCAATCAGATTCTAAATAGGGTTTCCTTGGGAAAGTATTAGAAGACTTTGCCCTCACTTGTGACTCAGTCATATCAAGATGGTTCCCATTCACCAGCTATGAACTTCGTTTTCTTTAGGGATTATGCCCCATCTTTGCTGACCTTCTGCAGGAGGTCAAGCTCTTCCTCTGCCAGTTGCATTTGGGGAAGGATAAGGGGCATGCTGCTGTGGGTTGTGGGTGAAATTCTTTTGGGGGGGATGATTCTGTGTTTTTGTAATTTTTATATCGTCTTTGTTTTAAATTGATGAAAGTGTGCAATTGTTGGCTGCCTTGAGTCCCCTCAGGGAGAAATGTGGGATATAAATAAAAAGAATGTAAGAAAGATGCAGATATCACATTTTTGGTCCTCCTCTTTTTTCTTTTGTTGTTTATTTACTGATTTTTCAGGGAAAACTCCATATCTGGGGCTGAGTAGATTTGATGGTTGTAGTTCTTATTAATGAGTCTTCCCTGTAGTTCAAGAGTGTGGAGTAAATGTAGCTTTTGGGGTCATGGTTAGCCTCCTAAACCCCTTCTTATGACATTTAGTTGTTTCCGAATCAAATCTCTGCCAGTCCCTCCCTCTCTCTCATTCACACACACACAAAACAATTTTTTGGTGATTTTATAACCAACAATGAGTCTGAATAGATAGATGGATAGATGGATGGATAGAGGTTCTCACACACAGAGATATAGATAGATAGATGATAGATAGATAGATAGATAGATAGATAGATAGATAGATAGATAGATAGATAGATAGATAGAGATATATATATTCATTCAGTCCCACTGTTGGTTATGAAATCACCAAAATTTTGTCCATTTTGCTTTCCCCCTCTAACCCTTTTCATCCCTGAAATATGTCCAAAACCAAAAGTTCTATCATGTCACTTCTTTTTGTATCATGGATGGGTTGTCAGTGGGTTGGTGTGGTGAATATACTCAAGGTCAGTGATTTTCTCAACCTGTGGGTCTCCAAGTGTTTTGGCCTACCACTCCCAAAAATCCCAGCCAGTTTATCAGCTGTTTGTATTTCTGGGAGTTGAAAACCAAAACATCTGGGGACCCACAGGTTGAACACTACTGCTCTAGGTTTTAGGATGAATAGTGGAACTATCCAAAGGGTTGAACCCTGCCCCCAAAATAGGTTCAGTGCCTTGGAAAACACCTTTAAAATTCAGGCTGAAGTATTAGGGGATTCACTGCCCCACTCCAAGGGAAACACTAGTTGCCATTGGTTGGAAGTATTTGGGCAATTGCTCTTCAAGCACAGTAGCCAGAAGGGAGAGTTAGAAAGATCTTTGGGAAGTTAGGGAGTGCATATTTATTGTCTTTACCCTGTTCTCATTGTACCTACTGTGTTTGTTCTTTCTTGATTGGGTAACCATCTTTTGTTGTTGTTGCTATTATATTAATAACACACCCTATATCAAAATATCTCAGGATGACTTACAAAACACACAGAAATTGGCAAAAACCCATGTGCATTCTACTGAGCAAGCTAATTCGCTGACAGTGATTTATTTCAGAATTTCTGGTACTTTGATCTACAAAGAGAGTTCATTTGTCTACACTGAAGCAATATTTTTTGTCCTTTAGGATATAGAGAGAACTCAAAACCACTGTCATTTCTAGATTTTCTGCATTCTAATGATCATTATCCTTTCATCCAGGAAGAGAAACCTGTGCTGGCTGTTCTCCTACAAGAAAATGCAGACAAAATTCAGCTTACACGGCGCATCCTTGACTTAAAACAGGTAACCATGCTTCTAACCATCTTATACAGAAATGTGAAGGTTCAGAGGGAAAGAAATCAGAAAACGGAGGGAAACTGTTTTAAATGTGTATGGAAGGAAAGATTCTCCCCATCCCTCACATTTTTTCCCTTGACTTCAATAATTTTGGCATTCCTTTCTCTGTCACATTATTCAAGTATGCTTCTAAAGAACACTGTTTTCCTTTGGGGCAGTTGGATGTGGTCTTTGGGTCTTATCTCAGATGATTTAAATGAAGGAACAGCCAATTCCTCATTATATTCTGCAGCTGTTGCCGGCATGGAGAACAGTTCAAAATTTTTGCTTCTATATTTTCATTGGGTAGCAAAACCATTTTCTCAGCCTTCCTCCTCCTTTCCATTGGTAATTTGGGAAATGATGACATCTGACCTATGCAACGCTTGAAGGTCTTACCTTTTTGGACCACAACCCAGGAAGATTTCCTCCATGCCCACAATCTCCACATTGTGGACCATTGATTGAGAGATAATGCATGCAAACTTCTTGGATTGCTTAAAAATGCTGACACTTAAATGTTGAAAGCTCTCCCTTTCAAACAAATTCTGAGAGCAAGGTTATTCTGCCGGGGTTTAGCAGGCAATGCCCATCGCAGCTGCTTTTTGATGAGGTCATGCCTTCATGGAAAGTTAGTTCAAAGAATTTCTCTTTTCCCCCTTCCCTTTTCTCTCCCAATTAGGAGCAGCAGCAGTTCCAGGCCCTGCATGAGGAAATCAACAGCCTGGCTCACAAGCTTGAGAAGCAAGGGAAGAGTGAGAGTCGGAGCATCATGGTCCGGCGCAAGCACCTCAATAAGAGGTAAGCACAGGGCAGCAACTCTTGGAGGAAGATGAAATGAGGGATTGTGGGACTTACGACAAAAAAGTAACTTTTCTAAGCTCAACCAGGATTTAGCTCCAATAGGCAATGCCGCAGAAGCTAAACTGCTTGCCTTTCGTTTCAGTTCTCTAATCTGGCTTTTTCTCTCCTTCCAGGTGGCTGCAAGTCCAGGCAATCCTGAAAGAACATTATGAGACCCTGCAGTTGGCTCTGGAAGTAGCTGCTTTTCTACAGCAAGCAGATGTGTTCCTGGGGGCCATCCATGCAAAGGTACTAAAAAGGCTGAATGCAGTTCAACCCATCATGTCAGCAGATTTTAGGAAGCATGGCATTAAACTATCCAAGAGAGTACATTCTGATCAGCAAGATGCATCTTCACCTTCCCCTGACATCCTCTACAGCCAGTTGGATAATATTAGTTTCTGTTATTCTGCATCTGGTGAGCAGATTGCTGCAGAATCAGATAGCAAAATGAATAGCCAATTTCTCCCCACATAATTTTTGATTATGTCAGTACAAACATGTTGGTTCTCCTTTACAAAAAGCACTGGAAGGATGTTTCTAAGGTCATAGTATGCCTTGTATAAGATTACAATACATGAAAAGCTGCAGGGCTTGGAAGACACGTGTTTTTGGACTGCATTTCCCAGAATCCCCAATCCTCTACCTGACATGATCATTGGCTGTGCTCATTGGGGGAATCTGGAAAATGTAGTCCAAAAATATCATTTCTGAATTCTGTAAGCTCTAGAAATTATAGCTGGGAATACAAAGCTGTCCATCTATGTCAACTCCTATGAAGATATTGCACATGTACTGTTTCGTTGTGACTTGTACAAGAAGAGAGAACCCAATAACTCGGGCCATACATTATACAAAAAAATACACTGGGATCCGTATATTAAAACTACATTTTTATTGGCCGGCTAGAATGTTAAAATAACATATAAAATGGCCCTTTTTCTATTTAAAGCAACACAGCTAAGAACTGCATATTTAGAGTCCATTGGAGTAGAGGTGATGCAGATATTTGATGTGGATCAGGACCTTGTTAACAGCTTGCTTGTTTTAACTTACGTTGTACTGTATGTGTATGTGTTTGTCAAATATTTTTTGATATGGCCAATGAACTAATCAATAAAATGTACTGTGTCAACTCCTAAATCTGATTAAGAGGGCAATGAACTTGGAAACCGTGGTCTAACATGTTTAAACATCAAAGGAGAAATTATTTTTATGAATATATGTTACAATTATGGAGTTTACCATGATGGATGGATGGATGGATGGATGGATGGATGGATGGATGGATGGATGGATGGATAGATAGATAGATCCAAATGGTGCATAGTGAGAGTATTGGGCTAAGACTTGGGAGAGGTTGAAGTCTTCACTGAGCCATATATTTCACTCAATAGCTACACTTTCTCATTCTGACCTTCCTCACATGGTTGAAGGTAAAGTGGAGAGGAGAAGAAACAACTTGAGCTCATTGGAGTAAAATCAAGATGACCAATACATAGAAATGTAAGGGCTTTTACCCAGACCCTAAGAGTGCATGGTAGATCCTACATGTCTCAGAGTTTACAACATGCCATCTCTTTTGCAGTGGAGGAGTCTTTGTGGACTGGAGAAGCAGAGGGAAGCTGAGCCCAATCTAGACCTCGATGTCAGGGATTTAGCGAGCCAAGTGATGGTGAGTACCAGGCCCCTGGAGCAATGGTTGTAAGAAGAACATAAGACTTGTAAGAAGAACATAAGACATCTCCTTCCTTAGTTTAGACCAGCATTCCCAAACCCTTCTCGTCTTCCAGGCCTTGTCTGCATGAATGGACTAAAATGGCCTGACCTGGACTCAAAGCTGAAGTTTGATACAGTTTGAAAAGAATCCACTGCAAACATTGAGAAACTATAACTATTTGGATAACTATTTTTATACTAGTGTGAAAACATTCTAAGTATTAAGTTAAAGTTTGTGGTTTCCTAAGGTGGTTTAAAATTTAAAATACTTGATAAAAACTTGATAATATTTTAAAATAAAATTGAAAATGCATGATAAATACATTATCATTTGTTTCTTTTAATGACTTAATTTTAATCCCAAATGATGTATAATTAATACATTAATATTTAATTGCTTTAACAATTCATAGAGGAATTTGGAGGGATATTTTTCTCATTCCTTTTTAACTGTAACATATTTTATATGTTACAGTTATGCATATATTTTATATATGGAGGCTCCTTCTTTGGAGGCTTTTAAACAGAGGCTGGATGGCCATCTGCTGGTGTGCTTTGAATACGATTTTCCTGCTTTTTGGTAGGGGGTTGGACTGGATGGCCCAGGAGGTCCCTTCTAACTCAATGATTCTATGTTCCATTACTTACATATTTTCACCTGATTTATAGCCATTTTAGTTATTAAAAAGTGAAAGTTCTACAGAGTCCCATCTATTTTCCCTTAGACTATGCCCACTTTGGGTATGTGGCCTTCAATCAGTTAATCACTGGAAAACAGGCCTTCAACCATGCAGAAGATTACCGTACTTGTGTTAGAGCACTATAGCCATCCCCCCATATTTGCAGTTTTAACTTTTGCTAATTTGAGTATTAATGGCTTTGATTAAAATCTTCTTTCTATTAATCTCTAGGTCCTCAAATGTAGCTCTATGGTCAGCTTCCTCCAGCCTATTGGAGGACCTAGAGATTTCTAGAGATAACGCTTCTCTAGAAATCTATATCCTCCAGTGTGATTCTGTGGTCCACTTTCACTGGCAGTTGTCCATAGAGTCATGCTGAAATTTATCTAAATTCATTGAGAGCGGTTATCGCAGGTTTAAAAAATGGCTCTTTCTTTTTTTCATTTTTTCACTTATTTGAGGGTTTTTCCACCCCTAACCCCAGAAAATGTAGATGGCTGATAGTATCTGTCATTCCTGGCTACTCAGCCTGTGTCTTTGCTGCCCTGTCAGATGCTGGATGTAACTGTGTCCCAGCTGACCAGCCTCCATCCCAGCCTGGTGGCCTGGGTTTCTCTCAAGCATCAAGATGTCAAGGAAAGCTGGGCCCAGCTCCAACAGCTGCTCAGGTATTTGTGAACCTTCATTCAGTCACATGTTAACAAGTAAGAACACTCTTCCAACATATTACTCCTATTTTTCAAGATAGGGTTGCTCACCTGTTGCACTTGTGCCTTTAACAGTAATGCTTTTACTGTAATCCAAAAGGCCTCATTTGATACATTTCTGCATTAAAGGGTGCTATTAGAGACACAGAAGCAAAGCTCTTGGGAATAAGTGCCTGCCTGTGTTAACACTTTGCTTAAATATGCCCATGCTTTCTTATCCAGGTTAAATATTTCTTCTCAGAAATGCCAGTTTGCAATTTCAGAGGAGTTTTAAAAAATATTTGTGTATCTTGAAAATGATCTAACACATAATTCACTTGTGTTTCATATATATCTTATACACATAGCCCAAAGGTAATATTATATAGTATATTTTGATTAGTAATTTTGTACATGAAACAAAGTTTTGTAGTTAAACCATCAGAAAGCTCAGGGGTCACTGTCTTGGCCACCCATGTTGACCATTTTGGATTTCGGAGTATTTTGGATTTCTAGATAAGAGATACTTTACCTGTGTTTCAGTCTTATCTATATATTGATAGCTTCTAAAAGCATTTTGGCCAATTATTTAGCCTTGGTGGGTGGATGCAAAGGGTGGTCTTTATTTCTGTTTATCAGGCAGAAGTAATACAAGATACAAAGAAAGCCTGTCTTGAAAAATAGGCTTAGCACGAGTGACTTGAAAAAGATCTTGCCAAACTGGATTCTGCAGACTTAATGGCGTGTGCTCTTTAATATAGAAATATTACTCTGTATGTCCCAGGGACTATGGTTCCACAATCCCCTAGCACTAGCTGTAATTCTGGAAGTTGTCATCAAAAAATGTAACATTGACTTGGCATTGCTCTGCCTCTAAGCCTCAGACTCATGAGTGCTCTGAAAGAAATTCCTCCCTTTGGGAAAGAAACATTCAGATGACTGAAAAGAGAAAGGATTTAAAATAAAAGTGTGAACAAGGATGTCTGTGGTTGCAGAATGCCCCTGCTATTCTGGGACCTTTTCCGCACTAACAACAACTACTACTACAACTACAACTTTATTCTTGCACCCCACCTCCATCTCCCCAAAGGGACTCGGGGAGATTTACATATGGCACAAAGTGCCTAAAACAAAACATAAAGTAAATACACAGTACAATACAATAAAATAAAACTATAGCATATAAAACAACAATTTAAAACTCAGAACAATGCCCAGTGACCTCTGGTGACAACTACTGTAAGACATGGCCAGACTGTAAACAAGACGAGGGAATGGCATAGTGCAAATTGTAACTACGGAACAGGGCATGGGATGAAAGTGCGGTGCTGAATATTTAATTGCGAATCATTGGGGTTAGACATGCTCAAAGGCTTATTTAAGCATCCACTATGGTCTGAGATACATCCACACCGTTGAATTAACACAGTTTCAACACCATTTTTACTGCCAAGGTTCAATGCTATGGAATCCTGAGATTCATAGTTTGGTGAGGCACTAGCATTCTTTTGCAAAGAAGACTAAAGACCTTATAAAACAAAAACTCCTGCAATTCCATAACATGGAGTCATAGTGGTTAAATTGAGTCAATTTGCATTAATTCAACACTCTAGTGACTTATTTTGCTTTTTAGCCTGTTCTGAAAATTCCCCTTTTGAGTTGTGTATTTTAGATGTTAACTCATGGGCAGGGACTGTTTTATTGACTTTGGTAAATTGCTCTTGGCTGAAAAAATGTATAAGGATCCTTCAAGAGGATACTTCAAATTATGAAGCAATGATTCATAGATTTGATTCAGGAGCCAAGGTTGCTCCAAGTCACAGCTGGGCTTATTCAGTAGCGACTCTTTTGTTTTCTTATCCCTTCCCTACTTGCTGTTCTATACCTTTATATTGTTTTGTATTATTTATCTTATTCCCTACATCTCTTAGGAATGAGAAGCCTCCACTGTTGGCTTTGAGAAGGAGAATGATTGATTCACCAAGTTCTGATCATGAGATCACTGCCTCTAGAAGCAGTCCAGCTGGAGAAAAAACAGTATGGAAAGTAAGCATTGTACTGTGTCTAGAATTTTATTTTCTGATCCTTTCAGCACTACATATAGAAGGTCAATTCTGCCTCCCTTAAATTAAAACCACCTCTGAGCATTCCTAAGAAAACCCTTCTAAATTCATAAGGGGCATTCATAAGTCAATAGTTAACTTGAAGGCACACACACACACACAAAGTTGCAGCTGTACAAGGAGAAAGGAGGCGGTGAGAGGCAACCTCCTCCCTTCTAGTTGTCTTCCACCAGATAAGACAAAGGGAGAATAGAATATACATCACAGAATATTTAGTATCGTTGCACCTTTGCACAATGAATATCAGATACTGGAATAAATCTTGTAGTCTTAAGGCTGGTACTGGATTCTTTTGTCTTTTTATACTGAAACACTAACATGGCTCTCTTAATGCTTCAGAAGCTCAGTAGAGTTATAGAATAATAGAATTGGAAGAGACCTCATGGGCCATCCAGTCCAACCCTCTGCCAAGAAGCAGGACAATCGTGTTCAAAGCACCCTTGACAGATGGCCATCCAGCCTCTGTTTAAAAGCCTCCAAAAGGAGACTCTACCACACTCCGTGGAAGATAGTTCCACTGCTGAACAGCTCTCACAGTTAAGAAATTCTTCCTAATGTTCTGGTGAAATCTCCTTTCCTATAGTTTGAAGCCATTGTTCGGCGTCCTGGTCTGCAGGGCAGCAGAAAACAAGCTTGCTCCCTCCTCCCTATGACTTCCCCTCTCATCTTGATACATGGTCCTCATCATGTTTCCTCTCAGCCTTCACTTCTGCAGGCTAAACATGCCCAGCTCTTTAAGCTGCTCCTCATAGGGCTTGTTCTCCAGACCCTTGATCATTTTAGTTGCCCTCCTCTGAACACATTCCAGCTTGTCAACTTCTCGCTTGGATTGTGGTGTCCAGAATTGGACACTGGATTCCAGGTGTGGTCTGACCAAGGCAGGGGTAGCATGACTTCCCTGGATCTAGACACTATTTATGCAGGGCAAAATCTCATTGGCTTTTTTTGCCTTGCATGACATTGTTGGATCATGTTTATCTGTTGTCCACAAGGACTCCAAATATTTTTCACATGTACTGCTCCCGAGCCAGGCATCCCCCATTCTGTATCTTTGCATTTTATTTTTTCTGCCTAAGCACAGCGTCTTCCATTTGTCCCTGTTGAACTTCATTTTGTTAGTTGAGTGTTAGTTTTGTAGAGGAGATCGCCTGAAATTGATTCTATAATCTGAGGATCACAAAAGAGATTATTATTTTTGAGTACCAGTAAACATCATTTTATTTAATGGTAGATATTTTAGCGTTGGGTTCATTTGTTCATTCATTCATTTGTCCATTTTTATTTTTGGTCATAGGCTCATAAAGACATTTTAGAAAGCATGGCAGAGCACTTGAGAGATCAGGAGGGCAACTCAGACTCACCCAGAAGAGAGGACATTGCAAGTGACAACAAGAGGTATGCCGTACACAATATCCTCTGAGGAGATGAGTTCTTGGCAAAAATGTGGAGATGAAGACAGATCTGTGTGGGAAATGATAAGATAGCGACAGTGAAGTAGGACTGTCTAGGCAAGGTGCTTGTTGAGATCTGCTTGTTGCATAGCAACTCATCCATGTGGGCGAGAATCTCTTTTGCTCTCATAGCTGCTTTTTGGAAGTAGATCAGTCTTGGAAAAGGCTGCTCCTTGGAAGTTCATCAGCTTGGGGAGTCCTGGTGGTACTAATAGTAAATCCAACCCCTTATGGGTGCATTTCTAGAAGTTTCATAAAAACATTGGGGAAACAATGAAGTTGAACCCTACAAGATGTTGCAATGTGGAGTGCAAGCACACTGGCCAGTCATCCAGGTGATCATTCAGTTCCCCTTTTTTGTACAATGGATCATAATTCTGGCCCAGTCCTCATAGAGTAATTTGACAGGGTCCTCTTCTCTCTCTCTCTCTCTCTCTCTCTCTCTCTCTCTCTCTCTCTCTCTCTCTCAATCTATATATAGATAGATAGATAGATAGATAGATAGATAGATAGATAGATAGATAGATAGATTTATAAAATCTTTGAAATGTCTCCAGCCTTTCTGATAGCTTCCTCTTTTATATGGATTATTCTCTTTTGGCTACAACAGAATCTTCACCAAGAGACTTCCTTTGCTAATTAATATGTACACAAATATAAATTGCCTCCATTAAATTGCATTGCATTTTGTTTTGATCTTGAATAACATACCTATTTATTCTGTCTTCTATTCGGAGTATATATTTGTAGCAATGGCTGTTTCACACATGTGTACTTGATGTGACAGTCTGATTCAATAGATGAATCAGAATGTATGACCTCACCCTCATTCTCTGTCTCCTGTAGGAGGAGGAAACTTCTCAGGCAAGCAAATACTTCTGAGGACCCACCACAGCCAAAGAAGGCACACCCTCAGGACTTCTGCCAGGTGGCTGATGGGGTAATGTCTCTCCATTTCGTGGAATTTCCAAGTATCTCTCCTCCAGCAGCCCACACAGATTCCAATATTGAGGCAGTAATGCTAGCTTTTCTTGAGCTGTTTGGGTACATCTCAATTTCGATAAAAGAGAATCAGGCTGGGATTTGGAATGAGCCCTGGCATAAGTCTCAAATTTACCATAGCCTATTATTTTATTATTATTTTATTCATTTACATCCCACCTTTCTCCTGATAATGGAATTCAAGGCGCCTAACAACATGTTTTTAAAATGCAAATTAAATACAGTACAAAAGCATTACTAAAACCATAAATATAAGATTTCAAAATCAATTAAACTATTGCAAAGTTAAAAGATTAGACATTATTGTAGGAATCATCACTGGTGATGACTCATGTCCGAGTATGATTGTCTTTCAACAACCTCATCTCAGTAGAGAATGAATCCACTTTAAATTCAGTTGCTGCCTCCTTCAGAATTCTGGGGTTTATAGTTTAGAGAGGAGCCTTTAACAGCCTCACTGTAAGTATAGTGTTTTGGCAGTGGCTCTGTAGGTGGCTGTAGAGACCTATTCTTGATTGGCTTGTTCTTCCACAGTGAGGACATTTTCAGGTGGAAGGTGGTCCTGGTCAGGGTTAGCTTGACGCACCTTCCTCTTGACACGTTTCAACCTTTCGCCCACCATTCATGCCTCTTCAAATTCCACAGCACTGTTGGTCACAGCTGACCTCCAGTTAGAGTGCTCAAAGGCCAGAGCTTCCCAGTTCTCAGTGTCCATGTCACAATGTTTAAAGTTGGCTTTAAGTCCATCTTTAAATCTGTTTTCATGTCCACCAACATTCTGTTCTCCATTCTTGAGTTGGGAATAGTAACTGCTTTGGGAGGCGGTGATCAGGCATTTGGATAACATGGGCAGTCCAGCGAAGTTGATGGCAGAGGATAAAGTGAGGTATAAATATAATAATAATAATAATAATAATAATAATAATAATAATAATAATAATAATAATAGGCTGTTCAGAATGCAAGGAGAGGCATTTTTAGCCTCTAGATATAAAATATCAATGCTTTTGAAGGATAGCAGGACATGATAATACTTAAATTGATAAGTAATCTTATCCGAAGTGTATAAAACAGAATCATAGAGCTGAAAGAGGCCAATGCTGAAAGGAAGATGAAATGTTAAACATATGCATGGTAATGACCCAATATATTACATCTCTCTTTTAGAAACTGCAAGAATTACTGCATACAGACCACAGGTGGAGTCCTCAAATTGACAATGCCCTTGAAGAGCTGGAAGAACTATGGGAAGAATTAAAAAGAAAGCACCAAGAAAATGGCGCGGCCCTGAAGGAGATTGATACAGTGAGTACTACCCACCTTAGAACACAATATCTCAGTTCTTTCTTCCCCTTCAGTAACATACTGTGTTGTATTGTATGGTATTATAGCGGCAAAAGTTTGATAGCCCAGCTTAACATACCACTGTAGAGCTTTTCATCCATTGATCTATTGATTTTTTTTTCGTGTCAGGAGCGACTTGAGAAACTGCAAGTTGCTTCTGGTGTGAGAGAATTGGCCGTCTACAAGGACGTTGCCCAGGGGATGCCCAGATGTTTTGATGTTTTACCATTCTTGTGGGAGGCTTCTTTCATGTCCCCGCGTTGGGGAGCTGGAGCTGATAGAGGAAGCTCATCTCCACTCTCCCTGGATTTGAACCTGCAACCTGTCAGTCTTCAGTCCTACCGGCACAAGGGTTTAACCTACTGTGCCACTGGGGGCTCCGATCTATTGATGATGTGTGGAGACAATGAAACACAGGATATTCGAAGATAAACTATTTATTATTAGAGATTTAATCATAATGGTCTTGATGAAGTGAGTCATGGTGCTGTTTATGTTAGGTAATACATAGTTGTAGTTTAAGACAAAAGACTTATACAATTACATTGCATCATTTGCCATTTTTGTCCCTGAGAAAACTGCATTTCCGTTCTCAGTTCAAGGAGTTCGTTCTTTTACATTTGGTTCTTGCCTTGAAAAGCAGAATCTGTGCATTATTGTAGGTTTTTGGGCTGTGTGGCCATGTTCTAGAAGCATTCTCTCCTGATGTTTCTCCTGCATCAAGGCAGGCATAGTCAGAGGTAATGAGACCTCATAACCTCTGAGGATGCCTGCCATAGACGCAGGTGAAACGTCAATGCTTCTAGAACATGCACACACAACCTGAAAAACCTACAACAACCCAGTGATTCTGGCCATGGGAGCCTTCGACAATACAGCAGAATCTGTATTAACTTTTCTGTGGCACAGAGTTTGTTTTTCTCCGGTGGTTAGAAACATGACCATTGGGTTATATACTTCCTTTTCCTCCTGCAGAACTGCTACAGTTGTGAGAGCAATGCTCTGGCACTGTCTATCCTGTTCACATTTTTCTTACACTGCTCCTTCGTATTTGCAGGCCCTGAAGTTGGTTGGTGAGCTGGAGGAAGCAGAGTGTTGGCTAGGAACCACAGTAGGCTTACTCTCTGCCTCCAGAGCAAAGAAGAAGCCTGATGACCTCCATGGGGACCTGAAGAAAATTGGCACCTTAGAGAACCAGGCTAGGGCCTGGAGTGTTAAGCTTCGGACCCTGCAAGAGAAAATGCAGGTGGAATCTTCCTCAGAGCACACAGCAATGGCAATGATTCAGAGGAAGATGGAACGAGTAAAAGAAAGGTGAGTTCTAAGAAACACAATTGTTTTCTGCATAGAAGTGGCATAGGAAACAGAGAAGTGTCTGAGGAAATAAGGCATATTTCTTACCAAGGCATGTTTTAGGATGAATTGATAGAGACCATCAACTAAAAGAAATGTAGAGTGTAGGAAGCCACAACTAAAGAATCCCCAAGATGTGGCCATGACATTTCTGTGTAAAGGGCCAGGCTGGTAGCACAACTGGTTAATCAGTTGCAATAAATCACTGCCGACCAAAATGTGGCAAGTTCAAAGCCCAAGTCAGGGTTGAGCGCCCGACTGTTAATACCTGTTGAAAAAATAGCTGTTAAAAAATGCCCAGCTCACTGTTGACCTAAGCAGTTTGAAAACAGCTGTGAGCTGTGAGTAGAAAAATTAGGGACTGCTTAAAGTGTGCCGGCTTTAGGTTAGGTGACCGGGACAGGATAGGGATTCTGTTAGTGTACCGACCACCCCGCTGCACGACAGTCTCCCTACCTGAGCTAGCAGGAGTGGTCTCGGACATGGCGTTGAGCTCCCAACGGCTTTTAGTCCTGGGGGATTTCAATATCCATGTCGAGACCGCTCTTTCAGGTGCAGCTCAGGACTTTATGGCTGCCATGACAACCATGGGCCTGTCCCAACTAATATCTGGTCCCACCCATATTGCCGGACACACATTGGATTTGGTCTTTTCGCAGGGATGGGGTGACAGTGTCGGGGTGGAGGAGCTGACCATCGCTCCATTGTCATGGACCGATCACCACCTGATTAGGTTTAGACTGACTGTACTTTCTAACCTCCGCAGGGGTGGTGGACCCATTAGAATGGTCCGCCCCAGGAGACTGATGGATCCAAATGGCTTCCTGACGGCTCTTGGGGAATTTCCCACCTCCCTGGCTGGCGATTCGGTCGATGCCTTGGTCTCTCATTGGAACACCGAGATGACTAGGGCAATTGACACAATCGCTCCGGAACGCCCCCTCTCGAGTAACCGAGCCAACCCAGCCTCTTGGTTTACTGAGGAGCTGGCGGCAATGAAGTGAAAGAAGAGGCGGCTAGAGCGCGTGTGGCGGAAGAATCCGACTAAATCAGCCCAAACACATCTGAATGCCTTTCTAAGGTCCTACGGTGTGGCAATAGAGGCAGCGCAAAAAACATCCTTTGCCGCCAATATTGCATCTGCGAAGAATCGTCCAGCTGAGCTCTTTCGAGTTGTCAGGGGTCTGTTAAATCCGCCAAAAAGCGAGATCCCTGACAGCTCGGGAGCTCGCTGTGAAACGTTTGCTCGATTTTTCGCAGATAAAATTGGGCGGATCCGGTCGGATTTCGACACCACTTTATCTGCAGTCTCTGAGGATGTAACGAGAGCATCTGCTTGTCAGGTTTTATTGGATTCCTTTCAATTGGTTCAGCTTGAGGATGTGGACAGGATCCTTGGAGAGGTGCGACCTACCACATGCATCCTAGACCCCTGTCCATCCTGGCTGATAAAAGAAGCCAGAGGGGGTTTGGCAGAGTGGGTGAAGGTGGTGGTTAATGCCTCCTTGCAGGAGGGCAAGATTCCAGCGAGCTTAAAGCAAGCTATTATCAAACCGCTGTTGAAAAAACCATCACTGGACCCCACTCAATTAGACAACTATCGGCCAGTTTCCAATCTCCCCTATTTGGGCAAAGTCATGGAACGTGTGGTGGCAACACAACTCCAGGGATTTCTGGTAGACACTGATTATCTAGATCCGGCACAGTCTGGCTTTAGACCGGGACATGGAACGGAAACAGCCTTGGTCGCCTTGGTAGATGATCTTCGCAGGGAGCTAGACAGGGGGAGTGTGTCCCTGTTAGTTCTGCTGGACCTCTCAGCGGCCTTCGATACCGTCGATCACGGTATCCTTCTGGGACGCCTCACAGATATGGGACTTGGGGGTACTGCTTTGCAGTGGCTCCGGTCCTTTCTGGAGGGTCGGTCCCAGAAGGTGTTATTGGGTGACACCTGTTCGGCCCCACAGCCATTGTCATGTGGAGTCCCTCAGGGATCAATTCTGTCCCCGATGTTGTTTAACATCTACATGAAGCCGTTGGGAGAGATCATTCGGAGTTTCGGGCTGCGATGTTATCTCTATGCAGATGATGTCCAGATCTGTCACTCCTTTCCTCCTGTCACCAAGGAGGCTGTCCAGACCTTGAACCGGTGTTTAGCTGCTGTGTCGGACTGGATGAGAGCTAACAAATTGAAATTAAATCCAGACAAGACAGAGGTCCTACTGGTCAGTCGTAAGGCCGAACAGGGTATAGGGTTACAGCCTGTACTGGATGGGGTTACACTCCCCCTGAAGTCGCAGGTTCGCAGCTTGGGAGTGATCCTGGATTCACCGCTGAGCCTGGAACCCCAGGTCTCTGCGGTGGCCGGGAGAGCTTTTGCACAATTAAAACTTGTGCACCAGTTGCGCCCGTACCTTGGGAAGTCTGATCTGGCCACGGTGGTCCACGCTCTTGTTACATCCCGAATAGACTACTGCAACTCTCTACGTGGGGTTGCCCTTGAAGACTGTTCGGAAACTTCAACTAGTCCAGCGAGCGGCAGCCAGATTGCTCACCGGGGCGACATACAGGGAGCATACCACCCCCCTGCTATGCCAGCTCCACTGGCTGCCGGTTCAGTTCCGAGCACAATTCAAGGTGCTGGTCTTGACCTATAAAACCCTGTACGGTTCCGGTCCACTGTATCTGTCCGAACGCATCTCCCGCTACGTCCCGCCTCGGAGCTTGAGATCATCTGGGGAGGTCCTGCTCTCGACCCCACCACTCTCACAAGTGAGGCTGGTGGGGACGAGGAGCAGGGCTTTCTCAGTGGTGGCCCCTCACCTGTGGAACTCACTCCCCGGGGAAATCAGAGCATCACCATCCCTCCTCTCCTTCAGGAGGAGGGTGAAAACTTGGTTATGGGACCAGGCCTTTGGGCAACCAGGCAATTAAAGACTAGCAGGATGGACGAAATGGTACTAAAAAACGGATCTATGAGACAGCAAACACTGACAATGCAAGGGAGGAATCTAGGTTTGTATTGATTTTATTGATTTTTATTGATTTTTTATTGGAATAATGCATGATGATGTTAGTAATTGTGAATTTTACTGTAAGTTGTGATGATTGTTGTGTTGCCGGCATCGAATCGTGCCTTACTGTGTAAGCCGCCCTGGGTCCCCTTCGGGGTGAGAAGGGCGGGGTAAAAGAACCCCAAATAAATAAATAAATAATATAAATAAAGCGGGGGGGGGGCTAATTTATGATACCCTAAAAATGCCGGAGAGCAAGGAGGAAATACTATGATAAAAAAGGCTTGATGTCATAGTGGACGAAGCGACAGCTCCCCTTGTGGCCGAATCAAACAACCTCCAGAATCCGGTGGAAGAACTGCTGAATGGCCTCCATCTGTCTGTATGTCTTGTATGTCAAAGACGGCATTGAATGTTTGCCATGTATGTGTACATTGTGATCTGCTCGAGTTCCCTTCGGGGTGAGAAGGGCAGAATATAAATACTGTAATAAAAACCAATAATGGAATTGAACCAGACTTCGCACACAGAACTCCCATGACCAATAGACCTTGACATGGGATTTATAGTTAACCTACAATCAAAGAGCACTCTGAACCCAGCCCACAATGGATCTGCACCAAACTTGGCACATACCTACATGTCCAACATTGAATACTGGTGGGGTTGCGGGGGTGGTGGGGTGGTGGTGTTTTTTTAATTCTGGGAGTTGTAGTTCACCAACACCAAAAAGGAAGAGAAGGACAGGTGGAGAGATCTTCAGCCTTCTCTGCCAAAAGGTTCATAAGACCATCAGAAATATGTGTTTTCTAATGGTCTTTGGCAACTCCTCTGTAACCCTGCTCACGAACCCCCCCCCCCGCCCCAGGGATCCCGACCCCCACTGCTCTATAGGATATAATTCTACCAAGGTGTCACATTTTTCTTGCCAGGTTCGTTTATGTGCAGGATGCCCTTCGGCGCCGAGCATCGGATTTGCGTGATTCTTTAATTTTAATAGAGTTCTTGCAGAATGTGCAACTGGAGGAAATGCTAAGTCAGAGGAATGAAAAACAGGTGAGGAGAAAAAAAAGATAAGACAAGGAAAGTATGAGGAAGGAGGAGGTATGTTCTCAACTGTCTCCTAGTAGTAGGTTGGGATTTGGGCAGCAAGAGCTCTCTCTCTCTGTGTGTTTGGATGACAAGACAGTATGGCATATCTTAGGTTGGAGTTAGTTCTAGGGGTGGGTGGGGCAGGTAATGGTTGGTTGCTGAGCCATAAGTGATTCTGGGAAATGATTTTACAGTTTAGGTAAAGCCCACATGATCCAATAATATCTCAGCTGAAGACCAGTGGGGAGGGGAACAAGGTATTTTTCAGTGGCTCAGCAGGAGGCTGAAAGGAACCAGTAGTTTCTGCAGTTGCCATCATTTCTGCAGAATTGCAGAAGTACACATCACATACGGGAGCTTTTGCCATTCTTAGACTGCTGCTGGGGTGTGTTTCAGGCTCACTGCCAGTCCATGGAGAAGTTTTCTATTTCCAGGCTTGGTGCCACTGCTACCAGGACTTATGTAAAAAGAAGGTTTATGAGTCACAATGCTGGCACTTCACTCCCTCATTTGCTCCAAATGGCACAATGAGTCCAAGTACACACATCCATCATCCATCTTGCCAGCCTGCATCAGTTACTCCTGGCTTTGGGGTGCATTAGTATTGCTGTATTGCAAAAAGGCAGTATGAAAATAAACATCTTTGCCTGGGGGTCCTGCAACCATTGATAGTGGGTAGATTTGGATTGAATATTTGCCTTTTTGTGATTGGAATCTGCCCTGAGTCCCTTTGGGGAGATAAGGCGAAATATTTTAAAAGTTTGTATTATTATTATTATTATTATTATTATTATTATTATTATTATTACCACCAAAGGTGTAAAGCCACCTAGAATCTTCTTTAAAGATAACACTTTCAAAGTGTTGTCTAGGAACTATGTTCTTGCTAGGGATTAATCTCAGATGTATCCCAGATTTCAATTTGTTTGTTACTCTCCTTTCTGAGTTATCTAGTTTCAAGGTGGATTTGAAATCCAAATTACTTGGGTGATACTGATCCTTTTGAGCTGAATTCTGCTACTGTTCTAACCCCTGCTACCTCCTGTCATTAAAGCAAGGCATAGTCAGTTGATCCATCATTTTTCTGATTTTTGCCCCAAAACATAATTTTAAAAACAAGAGGAGCAAGATTTTTGCAACAATTTCCCCTAAGCCCCATCTCCCACCCACACCCCCCAAAAAACTAATAGTGGTTTTCCTGCAACTTCCTGTTTTGTTTTATTTGTCATTTTTAGAACTGGGTTCATGAAGAAAATTGGGTTCCTGGCCTCTTTGAATTTTACCACCTCTATTAGTAGTATACAGTTTAATGATAATGCTGCTCTTGGCAATTTAGAAGGGGGAAAAGATTATGATAGAACAGTTTTAGCAAATCATTGTCAGCATCAGAGTACTCTTCAATAGGAGATGAACAATTGCAATGTCCTTACAAGAATGCTGTAAGAATAGATTGAAAGGTTATCTGTATCAACATATGCTCTTGTTATTTATATGTCTGTTTTGCTGTAGGGAGTGCCTAACAAGCTTGGCTCCCAGGAGTCTCTGCAATTTCTCATAGCCCAGAGTGGTCAACAGCTGAGCACTGAGGACATGAACAGGCCACTGGAAGAGCTTCAGGAAGCAGTGGAGATGCTGAATGATGTGGTGAAGGAACGAGAGCAGGCCAATGAGGCAAGGACACACGGAGAAAGCTTTCCATACTTTGAACAGACATTTGGGGATTGCAAAGAAACTGGGGTAAGACTGGGCTTGTGGAGGAAAGCAGTCTTCCCTAAAAAGTAAAGGGGCCTGGGAACATTTTTGATCTGTTTTTTAGTACTCTTAGTGCCCCTGGTATTGGAACAAGAAGCTGGGAAGTAGGTTCTTTTCGGGTTCCAGCAGGATGGTTTGTCCTAATAGTATTCTTCACACAGAATTAACAAAATATATTTGGAATATATGAAGCTGCTTTTTACATGAATCTGTTGGTCTATCCAGGTCAATATTGTCTCTGTAGATTGGCAGCAGTTTCTCAGGGATACAGGTAGGGGTCTTTCTTGACTCTACCTAGACATGTTAGAAACCGACCCAAGTAATTTTGCATGCTGAGCATGTGCTCTATCATTGTGTTGCTTCTTCTTCTGAAAATGGAGTGAGTGAAATAAATGGTCTGAAGCAAACTCACTTCCTAAAAATGTCATCTAACAGTGGAAAATGGTGAAAGGGGATAGCCCTGCATTTTAGTATGTGCGATCTTCTGATAATAAAGAATGGATAGGTAAGATGCATATCTAAGAGACAACCCCAAATAACATCTCAGCCAAGTTTGTTATTTGCTTACAAGTGTGGTGTTAGGGTATTTGATTTGTATTGAAAAATCCAGATTCCAGTCCTTACTGCACCTTAAACTAGTAATTCTATCTAAGCCTGACTATCTTACAGAGCTGCTGTGAAATAAAAGTGCAGAGGATGAAGAGAAAGGTGTATACCACCATCTTGAGTTCATTGGAGGAAAGGCAGGATAAAAATATAGCAATAATAATAATAATAATAATAATAATAATAATAATAATAACTATTACTACTACTACTACCTTTCCAAAACGGTCCTGAAGATATATTACTGAATACTAAAAATTACCATAGGATTGTCCACACTGTTATATTTCCCATATCTATGTATGGTTGTGAAAGTTGTTCAGTGAAGAAAATCAACTCACTTGAAATGTGATTCAGAAGAAGAGTATATAAATACTGTGAACTCTTACAAAGAAAAATGCATGGGCAAATCAAGCATGAATTCTCTCTAGAAGCCAGATGACTAAATTGATACTGTTGTACTTTGAACATATCATGGGAAACATGTCTTGTGAGAGAACACAATAATGTTTGGTAAGGTAAAAGACAATAGGTAGAGAGGAAGACAGCATTCCAGATGGGTAGAGTTTATTAAGGAGGCTTGGCCCTGAAACTGCAAAACCAAGAGCAGGGCTGTTGATGGGATGACTTGGAGGCCTCTCATTCACAGAATCACCATGAGTCAAAATCAGATTGGTGGCAATTTGCGAAATAAATAAATATCATGATTGAACAAATATTATCCTTAAATGAGATGTGGACTAGAAGCCATCACCTTGTACCTGTGACTAAATAAAGACGTTTGGTTGGCTGTGACATCAATATTTAAAAATGATAGTACTCTCTCAGTTGGTCTGGAGGAACAATGTGTCACTTTTCACTTCACTTCTTTTTCTTCTCAGCTGGCTTGGATTGTTTCTCACATGCAGACTGTGAGGGATAGAGCAGAAATATTGGCTGAAGACATTAGTCAGGCGGAGAGAAGTTTTGCCATGGTGAAGAGTGAGGGAGATCTACTGGAGCTGAAAAGGCTGCTGAAAAGGCAGAAAGAGATTGAGGTGAGACCAGAAATGTTGTGATGGGAACATTAATTCTTAGGCTCAAGTAGTGCTATAGTTCTCACTAATTTGGTATTTTTAGATTTGTCTGCTTATAGGTTATATGCTTAATGTATTGCATGATTTAGCCAGTTTGGTCTTGTGGAAATCCTAAAATGGCTGGCATTATGTATAGCTCAGCAAATCATAGTAATTTGTCATGTCAAACTATGCTACATTTCACCATTCACTGCCGGCTGGGCTTACTAAAGAGTACCTACAGCTGCTGCCATATTTGTGTATATGTGTGTGGTTTTGTGCATGCGTTGCAATGTATTTTGGGGGGGGGGGTTGGCTTTTAAAGTCCCTTCTGCTATGTTTTTCAGTGTTTTTATGAGTGATGGTCACTTGCTGGCCTGATAGGTGTATTGTGTCCAAATTTGATGTCAATTAGTCCAGTGGTTTTCAAGTTATGTTAATCCCACAAACAAACATTACATTTTTATTTATATAGATGTGGGAATTGCTAAGTATGTTAGGTTTGGCCATTGGTTACTTTAATTTTTTTAATATTCATCTGGTGGCAGATAATTCTGCTCTTCTTTGTTTTGTTGTCTAAGCTTCACGAAAAAAAATCTGCTTGTTCTTGGAGAAGGCCAAACATTTACCATTGGGAAACAGACACTGGTTTTAAATAATGTGAATATTGTTGTTTTTCTGTCCCATAGAGTGATATGTCAAAGCTGGCAAAGGATATGGAAAAGCTGGAGAACGCAGTCATTCAACAGCAGGAAAACTACCTACTTCAAATATCTCATGAATCCAGAAGGATCCTTGGAATACTAGAGTCCTGGAAGGAACTGCAAAAGTTGGTGTTGCAAAATGCAGTCCATGGACAGCAGGCTGGTCACCTGCGGCAATTCTTTAGAGATTATTTGGCCATTATGTAAGTTAGTGGCTCTTGCAAGGCTCTCCTTATCTCTAGAATATTTGCTTATATGTTGCCTTCTGTTAAAATGCAATATCTTCCCCAAGGTTACACCCTACAGCTCCTTAACATTTCACACAGTTCATGATATCTTGCTTTCTGGTGAATTTTCCTACCTTTGTATTCTGTCATAATTGACCAAGGCTTACACCTAAAGAAAAAACTAGAAAAATGCACCAAATGTTGTGTAGACTGTTTTTTCCCCAAAATGGAGGCAACCTTTGTAGGCTATCTAGGTGGTTTTATTTCCAGCTCAGCTAATCATATTTGGATGTACTTGTGTCTCTTACTTGATCTCAGTTTGTTTTTTCAAAAACAGTGCAATTTAAATGTTTTTTTTAAAAAAAACAAGCAGCCTTCACTTTTTCCATCTTGTGCTTTGTGAACAATAAACCTACCCTTATCTTGACCACCTGCTTCTATTCTAGTTGGGAATGATTATGGAAAAAGAAGGCAAAAGAGAGAGAAAATGTTGAAGGAAGGTAGCATGGTAGCAGTCCATCATCTGAAGCTTCCTGCTGCATGAAGCAAGACCCAGAAAATCTACCATGGTTTTTATAATAACTCAAGAGAGGCGTCTGGACAGGGGGATCAAGGAATCCCACCACTGTCCTTCCTTCAATAAGGAAATCACCTCACTTTGGCTCTAATAGTGCTTGAGGGGATGTCACGTTGTGTAAAACCTTCGCTGCCACCAAACTAAAGAAATCACGAACCCTCTAGCTATTTTTTAAAATGTTAAAAGGCTGATTAAATTATTAGAAGGCTTTTTGCTCCACCAATAACTGTGTATTAACAAGGGCTTTCTCTGAGGGGAAAACAGGAGAGGTTGATTCAATAAGGAAAGGGACTCAAAACCAAAAATAGCACTTGACTCAGGCTTCAGGTTTAAAAAATAACAAGAAAGAGTTTATTGATTACAAGTTATAGATTTACAAGTGAATGCAGGTTCAGAGGCTTGATGGTTACAGATAAAAGTGTTCTTGTTTCTTATAAGCGTATTGGTTACTTGAGAGAAATGGTTCTTTCCTTAGTTACAATTGCTTAAACACCAAAAAAACCCAGCTATTCTTCTTTCCTAAAAATAGATGAAACTCAGTTTGCCACAGCCTATTGTGCTGTGCAAACTACAGGCAAGCTGCCTATTCTAAACAGAGACTCCTAAACAATCCAACTCCTACTCTAATCTCTCTCTCAGAACTAAACTGCTCTCTACTCTACTCAGAACTCAGCTGTACTAAAACTCCACTGTCAAAACTATCTGTTCTCTTTCCCTCCATCTGCCTAACTCCGCCCCTCTTCTCTAAACCAATCCTGGCTGTTGCTGGGCTGGCACAGGCCTCGGCCACTCCCCCTCTCTGAACTGGAGTTTTTCCCTAAACTAAGATGGCTCCAGCAGCTCTCTGCCAGGCCTTCCAAGCTAAAACTACCTAGCCTGACTTTTCCTGGCCCTGCCACCCTGGCTGGCAAGGTAAGGGATCTTTACATTCCCTCCCCACCTCAAGATGGTTTGCGGAGTGAAAAGGTTTGCAGACCTTTTCGGAAGCAAAGCCTAACACTGTACTAGGCCTAACTAACCCCCTTACTATCTATTCCTAGCTAAACTTTCTATCTATGTACATACTTACATTTGTAATAAACACCTTATGCAATAAAACACTTATGCAATAAATACATTTTGTAATCAATACATCATAAATACATTATACACAATAAATACATTCCTGTAAGGGAAAAACATGTTAAATACATTATAACATTGCATATAATCAATCTAACACAGTAAATACTATACCTTTTGTAAGGAATGCCTCCTGACATTCTATATACATATAATCCCTATACTCTTACCTATATATATATTAAGCTGTTAATATCATCTATATTCTAATCTATATATATCAATATTTTATTATCATCAAGAATCCTACACTTATG